TGTGATATAAAACCAATAGTATTTCGATACGGCAAGGTTACATACCCTCATTAGCCATATAGCTGACGGCATGAAGTAATCCTTTAAAACATCTCTAAACATTGCAGTCACTATTATTTACACTGAATTTTGGATTTAATCTTCACTGCAACACCAAATGACATCTTTTACTTGCTATTCCCTAATTTTTTTTTATTTATTTCTTATAGATTTTGTATCCAAATCGACGTTTTTTTCTAAAAAAAATCATTTTTTTAATTTTCCTCGATAGTATAGTGATTAGTATCGCCACATGTTGAATAAAATATTTTTTTATATTTAATTCAAGAGCTACAATTATGATCTGTGGTGCCTAAAATTGTTTCTATACATTTTTACTTATTCATTTCGCACATAAAATTTAATGTAAAATTTTCCTCGATAGTATAGTGATTAGTATCTCCACATGTTTTAAATGTTTTTATTTGAGTTTTGTTCGGGTTTGAGTCACTCATACACTTTGAGTTAATAACTAAAATTTTTTGGTTAAGATTTTTTTGGGTTTGACATTATCAGCAAAACTATAAAATATCTGCTTACATTCATTCATACATAATTTGTCGCAGTAGACAATCTAAAGCGCCTAGTTTTTGTATTGTCGCACCAAGTACTATTACAAAACTTACCATGAGTTGAAAACATGAGCCATATGTAAATAACAGAAAAAAACAGTATTGAAACGCAGGCGATTACGATAAAAATGCTGCAAACGTTGTTACGCTGGGTCGGTCGTCTGTTGGTGATTATCGAAGATTTCGGTTTGTGAATGACAATAGACAATGGCTGCTTGGCTGGCTGACTGAGTGACGTTGAACGATGACAACAGATGATTGTTTTTTGTTTTTTTGCTAAACAAATGCAACAATTGTTGAATAATAATTTGTATTTGTTGTGTTTTTCTTTTCAATATTTTTAGAATTGCGTTTTTGGGTTTAGTTTTTTTATTCTTCTTTTAATTTTAATATTTTTAGAATCTGGTTTTTATTTTATTTTTCACTTTATTTGGTTATTGTTCAGTCAGTCTCTTGTTTTTTCGGTATTTATTTTTGAGATATACAACCAATGTTGGAAAGAACGTGGGGGAAATTTGTTTGTCCAAAATATACTTAAATTAATTTTCCGTTTTTTCTCTCTAAGTTTCTCTCAGTTGTACATGCTCTCTTTCTGATGGAGGACAGCTGTTTTTCTTTGACGGCTTTTCAAAATTCAATGCCAAAAATTCATGTGATTGGTTTTTGGTTTTTTATTATTTAATGTCTATGGTGAAATTATGACGTCTGTGGCGGTAATATTTTTTCTTTTATTACTTTTTCTTCTTTCGTTATTTTTCTTCTTCTTCTTGGCGAGGGATAATGATTTTTTTTTTATTTTATTTTTTTTTTAACAGTTTACATTTTAAAAAATGATAACGAAAATATGCACATGTATATGGGGGCTTTCCGGGTATATATGGGGGTTTATTGTCTGCTTTTGTTGTTGTTTTTTATATTGAATTTTAACGATATTTGCCTTTAACACAATTTAATAATAATTTTTGCATTTCTTTGTTGCCGCTGCTGCTTTTCCCAACAAAGAGACTTTGAAACATTGGAGGAGGGATTCACTGAATTGTGTGTTAGCCCAGTTCTTGTGTTTTGTCGTGCTCGTGTTTGTTTGTTTGCTTTTTTTTGTTGTCTCAATGATGTGTTATAACATGCTCACAACGGGCTACTCTCCGTTATACCACGAATTCTTGCTCTCTCTCCTTTTTTCTCTCTGTTGTTTGCTCTCCAAATGTGATTTGATTTGGCTTGACTGGCTGGCCGCTTTATGTTGTGTTGTTGGTGGTGGTAGTGTTTGTTTATATTTCCGTTCCGTTGTGTGGTATATTGCTTCCTTGTGTGTGTTGTTGTTGTTGCTATTGTTATCTCTCTAACAGTGAGTGAGCAAGTACATGAAACTGTTGTTGTCTCTATGACCGATGTCTATTTTCAGCTGTTTTGCAACGCACGATTTATATTGCTGTTGTTGTTGGTATTTGGCTCTTGTTATCCATTACTCATACATTCGTTACTAGGTAGACCTGTTTTCTCTCCCAGTCTCTTTTTGAGTTTGTTGTTGTTTTTTCTCTATTGAAAGGAAGGTTTATTGCTGTCTGCCGTTGCAAAAATGCCAATGACTTGTTCAATTATTTGTTTATTTTTGTTGTTGCTTATATTAACTTTTAATTATTTACTTTATTTATTAATAACTTTTATTAAAAACGGGTAAGGCCTTATGGGGATTTTTTTTGTGCGTTTAAAAATTCCTTTTTATTTAGCATGGGGTTTTTCTAAGAGATTTTTTTCTTTTGTTGCCTGTTACTACAGGGTAACTTTCCTCTTCTTCCGCTTTCTTCTGCCTCTTCTCTATAACAACAAAGGATTATAACTTAGTAACGTGTGTTAATATTATTCTTCTTCCTCTCCCACAAGGCGGTGGTGGGGTGCCAATACACACAATTGCTTGTATTTTTTTCTATTCTATTAGAATGCTCCACACACACACGTCGCCTTTTTCGCTTTGCCAAAATTTTTATGTGGACCAAATAAATCTTTTTAGCCAAAAAACAAGTTTTGTTGTTTTGCAGACTTATTTTTGTTTCGTTTTTTTTTTGTAACTCAACTAATAAAAATTACAATTATATATTTTTTAATTTTTTTTCTTTTGAAAATCAATTTGCCGATTTATTTTTTATCCGCGCTTTGTATTTGCTGCAAGTGAGAATAACACTGAACTGAATGGAAATTCTTCTCAAGAATGCGTTTACTCCACCAGAAAAAGCTCGTGAGCTACGCAAGTTAACAAAAGCTCTCTACTGTTTTTGGAACACAATCAAGCAAGGCGTAGAGCATAGGGTGGCCGCATTCTTTTGGCACGTGAGATTTTAACTGTCAAATTCACTATGTTTTACAGTTGGGCCTGGATAAAAAATTAAAATAATAAAATTTTAAATATTTTCTTCAATAGTTTGTAGAAAATAAAAATCAATAAAATGAAGTAAAAAAATTAAAAATATTTTTAAATAAATCATTTCATTTTTTTAGATATCTGAAAAAATATAAAAAAATACAAATATCTTTGCAAAACTTAAATAAAAAACAATATATAATCTATATAATTCTTTTTATGGAAATCAAAATCTTGAAATAGCTTAATAAAAATTATTAAAAACACATAAAATTTATTTACCAAACAATATTTTTTTTTATTAAAAAAAAAACAAAAAGTATTTTTTGTTGAATTAGAATTTTGAAAAATAATAATTTAAAAAAATTAATTTTAAAAATAATATTCTTTAAAAAAATAAAATTTTGAAAAAAGATTAAAAAATTATTTTAAAAATAATATTCTTTAAAAAATAAAATTTTGAAAAAAAAATTTGAAGAAAAAATATTTTTTTAAATCCAAGCCTTTTTAATATTCATTCCTTTAATCGGCATATTTGAAAAAAAAAAATAAAAATATGTTTATGTTTGTCATATATTATATATCAATAATGATAAAAAAAACGCCATGTTGTTGTTTATAAAAATATTTTTGGCAAACCTAACCATCCAATCAAAACAATGTTGCCACATTGTAAAAACAAACTAGCCTAGATATCCCTATCTCAGTGGTTTATCAATATAAAATAATAATTCTTTTGTCACTTGTTGCCTAATGCTGATTTGGATAAACCATGGTTTCTAGGGACAAGTCTAAGTCTGGCGGAAACTAATCTCATAAATAGACTTAAAGTTGGTGTGACATATGACAAGGACTTTTTTGAACCGCATAGGTCCTGCTGATACATACCTGTGAGATGCATGTTAACATCCTGAAAGTGCACAACATATAATTTTACAATGTCAAAAATATATTAATATAAGGAAAAATTATACCCTCCTTTTTTCCCAACACCATAATCTGACAACCCTCCTCCAATACAAAGATATCTCCCTCTAAAGGCTAGTCCTTGGATTCAACAAGGAGGCGAAAATAACACTGTGATCCCATACCCATGATGAACTAACTGTGATTTTTTACTCTGATACCAATTTTTAAGTTATACCGAAAGATACTAATGAAAATGTTACAATCCCCTTCCCCATCTTCTCCACAGCTTTTTTTGGAAATCAACGTTTATAAAGGAGCATCCTGCCCGGTTTTCTGTTGTTGGTCAAAATTGGTGCCGGTTGGAGTCTGATTTGGGTGGAAATCCTCGCACGTTTTACACAATTTGCTGGTCAACTCTGAGGTTGTCCTGTGAGTGATTTAATGTTATTCATTGATTGATTTTTATTCGCATGTTTAACTACAGTTTTATAAATTTGCTGACTAATGTATACCCCGGGTACTCTCGTTTTGTTTTTATCTTTTGTTTGCTGCACTCCTAAGGAATTACCTCTTATCCTGGAGTCATCGCATTTTTGGGCCTATACATCCATTTTGAATTCTATGGATCGCCATTTTCTTTTGTCTCCCGGAGTGAGATTTTTCATAACACACACACTTGTCGCGTTTTTAACTTTTTTAAATCCATCCTCAAAGATTCCTAAAAACATTTTCTAAAAATTTCAGGCCTTGCCAAGGCCTTTGAAAAAAATCCGCAGTGTTGTGGATTTCCAACCAACATAATGTTGCCATATTGCATAACCCGTTATAGATATATTTTGAATTTTTAAATTTTAACAACAACTTCCCTCGAATTGCTTTCCACCTGTTTGACACACATACGAACCATATGTCATCGTTTTTCATAACAAGAAACCGGTTGGTTGGTCAAAATATATCAGCTGAGTTGGAGAAATTAAAAAAATAAAAAACACAACAAAAGCTAATCTTATCAACCACAACACCATTCTCAATTTTGTATTTTGTACCCTGCGAACAATTTTATTTTCGTTTCTTTCCATCCCGACATCATTCCCTAAGAAGACAGCAAGAAATTCTCCTCCACAACAATGGCCCGCCGATTAACTCACTTGAATCCCAAGAAAACTTTATTTCTCCTGTGCGATGTCCAGGAAAAATTCCGTCCAGCTATGCCTTTATTTGATAAATTAATTGAAAATGCAAAACGTTTGGTAAGATTGTGAAAAATTTAAAAAAAAAAAATTCATTCCAATTTGAAATTTTCTCTTAGACCACAGCCGGCAAAATCTTGGATGTTCCCCTCTTGGTAACCGAACAAAATCCCGATAAATTGGGTAAAACTGTCCAGGAGTTGGATATTAGCCATGCCAAGGCTAATGTCAGTAAGACCCGTTTCAGCATGATGATACCCGATATTGAGTGTCAGATGCAGAAACTATTCGATGGTGGTAAACCCACGGATGTTGTGTTGTACGGCATTGAGGTAAGGTGAAAAATTCTAAAGCCACTGGAGAACGACTTTTTTCATAGGAAAAAAATCATCAGTAGCCGAGGAAACATTTTTCTTATAGAAAAAATTCTCAAGATCTTGGGAAATATTTTTTTATTATTAAAATATTTATCCATTTTTTTTTCATTTTAGTCCCATGTGTGTGTCGAACAAACGGCCATTGATCTGCTGGAAAGAAATATCAATGTCTTTCTCGTGGCCGATTGTGTGGCATCGCGTGTAAATCAAGATCGTGATATGGCCATAGAACGTCTGCGGTCCGCAGGATGTATCATAACGACCAGCGAAAGTGTTATCTATGATCTGCTGCGTGACAAGGAACATCCCAAATTCAATGAATTACGCAAATTGTTGGTGGCCAAATCTGCAGATATGCAATTGACACGCGGATCATCTGCAGCACCGGCAGCAAAATTATAAAAGGAAGCACATAATATAAAAGGAATAAATGACATTTTTTAAATAAAATTAACGTTTTATCAGTTTTTGTTTTAGGCCTTAGAAATCCACGACTTTTAAAGGTCTTTTTTAGAAAAATATTTTTTAAAAAAGTCTACGCCTTGTTTAGGTCCTTAAAAATATTCTTTAAAAAAGTCTACGCCTTGTTTAGGTCCTTAAAAATATTAACTCCTATTCTGTATGTCGTCGTCGACACGAAACGACGTCGAAGAGAGTCGTCTTTTGCAAATTGGTATTCCCTATGTCGTTGTCGACATTTATCGATAACTATTGAAACATTTTTGGTATTCCGTAACAATGTGTGACGACGACGATGTCGAAGATTTCTTCGTCATAGTTTTTGTTCTGAAGCGTTTGAACATTTTTTTTTGAAATTAAAAAAAAAAACATGACCGGACAAGAACAGGATATATCATTCTAGAATCTATTCAATACTTAATGCAAAATAAAGTGTAAATAAAGAAAAATATATGGGATCTATATATAAATCTAAACCGATTTTTACCAATGTCAATGTCTATGTGGAAAGAAAATTTCATCCCAATTGGATGGATTTTTTTCCAAATTTCATCCCGTTCGGATCATAATGGTGGCATGTAACTTGTTTAAAATAATACATGAATGGAGGGACATGCACAAATCGACTGAAAAATAATTCTATGTACATACTATATACTAAAAAGTAACTATGGGTCTATCTCGTTTCTTTTTGGTCGTTGCAAACACATTTACCAAGACATAATGCCCTGTGCCACAGTGCGGTGAAGGATACAAACACATTTTTGCCCAAAAATATGCAACAACATTTTTGTTTTTATTGATATTATCGATAAATAGTCGACATTGTCGCATGAGTGTTACAGAATACCAAATCAGTGTCGAAGTGATGTCGATGTCGATGCGAAGTGATGTCGAAAGAGAAACGTCGTCGACAACGACGACGACTTACGGAATAGGGGTGATTCTTTAAAAAAGTCTACCCCTTGTTTAGGTCCTTAAAAATATTCTTTAAAAAGTCCACGCCTTGTATAGGTCCTTAAAAATATTCTTTGAAAAGTCCACGCCTTGTATAGGTCCTTAAAAATGTTCTTTAAAAAATCCACGCCTTGTTTGGGTCCTAAAAAATATTCTTTAAAAAAGTCTACGCCTTGTTTAGGTCCTTAAAAATATTCTTTAAAAAGTCCACGCCTTGTATAGGTCCTTAAAAATTTTCTTTAAAAAATCCACGCCTTGTTTGGGTCCTAAAAATATTCATTAAAAAATCCACGCCTTGTATAGGTCCGTTAAAAATATATATATTTTTTTCAAATATTTTTAAAGCAATATCAAGGGTAGATTTTATAAAATATATTTCTTAAAGGCATATCAAGACGTAGATTATTAAAAAAATATTTTTTCAAGGCGCAGATTCTTAAAAAAAAATACTTTTTCAAGGCGCAGATTCTTAAAAAATATTTTTTCAAGGCGTTGATTTTTTAAAAAATATTTTTTCAAGGCGTATATTTTTTAAAAAATATTTTTTCAAGGCGTATATTTTTTAAAAAATATGTTTTCAAGGCTTAACAAGGCATAGGATTTTTAAAAAATATATTTTTTAAGGCGTAGATTTTTTAAATAATAATTTTTCATGGCGTAGATTTTTTAAAAAATATTTTTTCAAGGCGTAGATTTATATTTATTGAAAAAATATTTTTTCAAGGCGTAGATTTATATTTATTGAAAAAATATTTTTTCAAGGCGTAGATATTTATTGAAAAAATATTTTTTCAAGGCGTAGATTTATATTTATTGAAAAAATATTTTTTCAAGGCGTAGATTTTTTAAAAAATATTTTTTAAAAAATATTTTTTCAAGGCGTAGATTTTTTAAAAAAATATTTTTTCAGGCGTAGATTTTTTAAAAAATATGTTTCATGTCCTTTTTGAATACCAAAAAAATCTTCAATTAGTTTTAGCCTTTTTAAAAATATAATTTTAATTCATATTTCTGTTGTTTTGTTTTATAACAAATTAAAGCTTAGTAATTCTAGTTTATTATAATTAACATTAAGATTATAATAACAATATTTTAAAATAATAAAGATTATATTTAGAATATATGTATATGAAATTGCACCTAAAGCAAACGAAATTGATAAAATTTAAAATTAAAAAATTAAGATTTTTGAGATTGTTACAATATAAATAATTCATATTTAAAAAATACAATATATCTCTCTTCAGGATAAAGAATATTACACAATAAAATAGTCAACATTTTCAACGCCTATTCGTTAAAATAAAAAAATGATTTCCAATTTCATTTAAAAGACAAATAAATGGATTACACACAATATCCCTTCCATTTGTTTGTAAACTTTAAAAGTAAATAACAAAAATACTATTTTTATATAAATCCTATAGTACATTATTATAATAATTGTAACTTAAAAAAAAAACTAATTTTCTTCTTCATTCAATTAATATTTATTGTGTTGAGCCAGCAACTGCATATCGGTCAGATATTTAATAATATGGACTTTGGCCTCTGCCTTTTGCCGCACCCCCAAAGTGTTTAGCATATCGGTGACGACAACACCAAACGATTGATCCTCGGCACTGACACCCTGTTGATTTTGTTTCGATTTCAGATTCAGCATACTCTCGTGAAACAGATCGTCTTCGGTGCGTTCCCGTTTCATGGGGACTTCATAGTAAAAGGTTTGTTTTTGTTCCTTGCCCGAGGAGGGGGTGGTGGTGGCCGTCAATTGATTATCACTGGTAACGGTTATTTCAACTGGAATGCGCAAAAGAAAATCCAATTAGAAAAATATAAAGACAAATATTATTCGGTAGACAAACTCACCATGATGATTTTGTAATGCCTGTTGAGATGTTGCTGCTGTCCCATTGATGGGAAACATGGTGTCCACAACATGTTGCTGCTGCTGAGCCTGTTGTTGCTGGGTGTGATCGACTTGGGCCACTTGATTTGCTGTTGTCTGATTGGGCGGCAATGGGCCACATTTACCCAACAATGATTCACGATATTGTCGTATAGATTCGACAAGGAACGACATTTGTTTAAAGTAGCGCCAACGTGACTCTGTGCTCAATTTCATTTCCCGGGCAAATTTATCACGTAAACTTTTCCAACGTTTGGTGCATTTTTGTTCTGCAAAGATAAAAAAATTAAAATTTCTAATTAATTTATTAAATTAAAGGAATTTATCAATTAAAATAACCGAAAACCCGGTTAAATCTCCTAAATCAATCTAAAAATCCGGTTAGAAGAACCGAATGTATGATCAATTAATAAAGCATTTATTGAAATCTAGTAATTTATCGGTTTTAAACCCGAATAACCGACCAAAATTAACAGAATAACCGGTTAAATAAACCGAATAACCGGTTAAATTAACGAAATAAATGTTAATATAATAATATATCCTCTTAAAAACCGAATAACCTATCAAAAGTAATCGAATAACCCGTCAAAGTAAAAGATAACCGGTTAAATGAAGCTTTATAACCGTGTAACCGGTAATATTACGGGACAACCCGTTAAATAAACCGAATAACCGGTCAATGGAATCGAATAACCATTTAAATGAGCCTAATAAACGATAAATTAAGGGAACTTATTGCATACAACGCCAAATAATCGAATAACCGGGTAAATTAAACAAATAACTGATCAAATAAATCTAATAAACTTTCAACTCATAATAAATGTATTTTGTTAAAGAAATTAATCGGCTAATAACCAAGTAACCCGTAATATTAGCAGAATAACCGATAAAAAAACCGACTTATTTAAATAACCGGATAATAGAATCGATTGACAAGACTTTTTAACCGTATAAACGATCAAATTATTAAACTTTTTATTGAGTTAAAGGTATATTTTTGTTAAAACCCGTATAACTTATTGAGTGATTCAAATAACCGGTTACATGAGCCGAAAAAGTAATGATCAAATTATAATAAATGTATTGTATTAAACGAATTTATACGTAATGGAACGAATAACCCATCGAAATAGACGAATAATCGATCAAAATTAACCGAATAACCGGTAGAATTTACCAAATAACCGATTGAAATACCCATATATGCGATTAACTCATAAAAATCTATTTTATTAAAATATATAACAACCTGAATAACCGGCAAAAATAAGTGAATAACCGTTAATATTAAGCAAATATCCGTTTATATTAATCGAATAACCGGTTAAGATAACCGAATAAAATATTAAATTATAACAAAATTTATTGTATTTACCAAATTTATTGACCAATAATGAAATAATCAGACGAAACATCTAATAGCTGTTTAATAGAACCGAGTAACCGGTTAAAAAATTTGAAAATATCGATTAACTAACCAGAATAAAAGCCATAGTTTATGTTGAGACGGTACCAGAAAATGCATATAAAAATGAATTACTTCAATGGATTTATTAGAGTTAAAAAAATCAATTAACTGGTAAAAGTAATCGAATAACCGGTTACAAAAAAAGGAATATTTGGATAAATAAACCGAATTAACGATCAAATAATTATTTATCTATTGATTTGAAGGAATTTGTTCGTTTAAATAGCTAATATTGATTTTAAATAGCCGAATAACCGATTAAATGAACCGAATAAAAACCATAGTTTATGTTGAGATGGGACAAGACAATGTATATAAAATTTAATTACAGGAATTTATTAGGATTAAAATAAATTAAATAACCGAAGAAATTAATGGAATAACCGGTTACAAGAACATAATAATCGGATAAATAAACCGAGTAAGCGATCTATTAATAATAAATCTATTGATTTGGAGGTATTTTTTCGTTTATATACCTAATAGTGGTTTTAAATAACCGAATAACCGGTAAAATGAACCGAATAGTCGGATAAGCAAAACGAAAAACCGGTTAAATTTCCCGATTAAACAATAAACTAATAATACTTTTTTTGTAATTAAAATAATTTGCAATTTAAATCCCAAAACCCCGGCTAAAAAACCGAGTAACCTGATAAAATCGAATAAACAAAATTGATTACTTCAATGAATTAATGAAATTTAACGACTAAAATAACTGAAAAATCGGTTAGAAGAGCCAAATAACCGGTTGTACGAACCGAAAATCCGGATAAAAAACCGACAACTCGATTAAATGAACCGAATAAACGAGCTGTTAATTGTAAATTTGACTTAGTTTAATTTATATCCGAATAAAAAACCCGAATATCCGAATAAAAAAACCGATTACTCGATTAAATTAACCGAATGAACGAAATATTAATTGTAAATTTTTTAAATTAAAGGGATGTATCCGTTAAAAACCGAATAACTCGCTAAAATAATCCAATTAAGTTTTGACCCCCACTCTAATACATTTAAGAACCACATGTGCATTACAACTCTGCTGCTCACTGGCGACAGAGATTTGATGTTGACATAATAGTGAAACAGTGGCAGTTGAGAGGGGGGAATTGTGTTTCTTGCGAAAAATGAAAATAAAAACAAATCATGAACTACACATAACATCAATAACAACACACCAAACAAGTGTAAAAGAGAATCCAATGTTCATTCAACAATCGTTTGACGTAGACAGCAGAGCAACATCGAAATAAGAAAAAGAGAGAAGTCAACAGCAAAAGACAAGCCAACGCCGTTAAGTTGGCTGCGACACAGCAACAGCGAACCAATAAGAAAAACAAAAGGCAAATCTACAAAAACTACAAAATTTTAATACAGCAGAAAACAGCAAAAAAAACCAGAACAACAGCAAACAAATAAAAGAAGAAGAGGAAAACGACGACGAATACAACTACACAACAACATCAGACGATGGTTTCATCGTTCGTTCGTAGTCGTTGTCGTCGCCAATACACACAAGTGTGCTACTGTGCTCTGCAAACGGGCGACGCAAACTACACAAACCAACCACTACTACCACCATCACCATAAACATCGACGTTAATGCTTTAGAACATGGTTGCCAAGTATTTGGTTTTAAGACAAAGATTGAGGTTTTTGGGTAAAATTTTGGTGAGGGCCACTCTTGGGCAATGACATTATTTGATCATACCAACGCGGCTTCAGACCTGGCAAATCCATCAATGACCAGTTTTTCACTCTGCGCCTAGTCCCCACGAGAAACACATCGACACATTCCACCTATTCGTCGACTATAAATCCGCATTCGACATCCCTATCCGTTCAGAGGTGTTTAAAGTATGTCTGCGCTTGGCATTCCTGCAAAATTAATACAGTTATGCAGGATAACTTTGAGATCAGCAGTTAAAGTCGGATAGGACCTCTCGGAGCCCTTTAATATCGAACTAGGATTCAGACAATGTGACAGTTTTTCGTGTAACCTTTTTAACATCCCGCTGGAAAAGGTCATACAAGAGGCAAAGGTGAACAGAAATGGCACTCTGTACAGCAAACAACACATGTTACTCGCCTACGCCGATGACACCGACATAATGGGTCGAATATTGAGAACGGTAACAGCCACCTTTGAACAAATTGAGGAGTCTGCCAAAGTGGGTCTGGCTGTAAACGTCCAGAAGACCAAGCTGATGTTATCAACGCGCAAGACGTCCAGTAGACTTGGAGCAACTGTGGAACTTGAGAACTACAGCTTCGAGGTCAAAGATTTTATATACCTTGTTACCGCCATAAATAAAACTAATGACATCTGTTTTGAAATTTGGAGGATAGTTCTGACAAACTATGGTCTAAGTAAGCAGTTTAGAAACAAGGCCACATCCCGTCAGACCAAACTCACACTCTACAAGACACTGATACTACCAGTGCTGTTATATGCGCAAGCAGATGAGGCAGCTCTTGGAGTGTTTGAGAGAAAAATTCTCAGAAAAATCTATGGGCCGATCTGCGTTGACGGTGAATATCGCCGTCGAATGAACCATGAGTTGTTGGCAAGGTCATGTTGTGAGAATGGATGAAAATGCCCAGCTCAAAAATCATACAAAAATAAACTAGCTGATGGTTCACACAGAGGGGAAAGCCAACGAATTAAATGGATAAATGAAGTGGATGACAGCATTGCCGAACATTGTCTTCCAAAAACAGCACAGAAGACTGACGCGTCTGGAAATCTTTTTTAAGCTCGGCTTATGGAACGAAAGTTGTGCCACAAGCCAGAGCTAAGTAAGTAATAATAATTCGAAGAGGTGGTCACAATTGGCAACGAATATCTTGTGGCTGTAAAAAAAGTATAGACCAGACTGATATTGATAATAATGCAACTGTTAGTTGCAATATTTTTGTGGGAAAATTTGTGGCTTAACTGTAGTTTAGTAAAAACGATGAGATTTTTCTGAATTTTTTTAGATGTAGGTATTTTTACCCTAATTATGGGGATATATTTTTTCTTGGGGGACTTACCCGTTTATTTGACCCGGAAGTTCGGGTGCGGGTCCCACGGATCCGGTTAATATAAGATTTAAGACTTTCTCCTATAAACGGATACCAATTTCATACATCTACTATGGCAACCCTCTATTCTGATTTGAATCGACCCAGACGACGTTTAGAAGAAAAGTATTAACACAACAAAAAGCAACAGCAAAGACAACGACGACGACACCAATCAAAGCCGACTCACCGACACATGGCCCCGACGTACGTACACACAGAACACACACACGAAGGCAGCATTCAAAATAACACAGATGAGGCGACGGTGGTGGTGGCGGCGGCGGCGGCGGCCGTTTGAAAGGGTAAACACAACACCGTCAGCACAGCCCGACATACACACACAACACTCACACACGACATTCATATGTTGTGTTTGCTGCTCTCAGTGGGGGGAGAATGGAAAATTATCATTCGTATATCGTTGATGCGTCGAGGAGGTGCAAAGAGGGGGTGGGGCGTAAGTAAAATTGACGTATTTAACAAAAAACATGATTTGAAATTGACTTAGTCAGAATTGTTGGTGTTTCTGACAAAGGTAGTAGATTTTCCTTGTATTCGTTTCCCACTCTCTCATGTTGGTTGCAATTGTTGACCGTTTGTTATCGCAAGGCATGCGTTTTCCCACACTCCAAGCCCCATTTCCTAATAACCAACCCACCCAACTAATCTACGACTAGACAAGTGATTATTACACACTTACCAGGCATACCAAGCTGTTCCGATATCTGCTTCCACACCTGGGCCTTTCGCACAAAATGCTTGTAATTATAATGGGAACGATCATAAATGACCGGATTCATTTTCACGGCCTCAATGAGGCTCAAATCGAACTGTTGTTCCATATTGGCATCCATTTTGTCCACCATCCTGACGACTACGGACTTAGAGCTGCTGCTGTGGGCGGGGGTTGGTGGTGGTGGTAAGCTGCAACGGCGAAGTTTTCGGGAGGTTTTCCAATAGTTGCTAACGATTTGTTATTGCGAAGAAGTTAACTTCGCTGCCAAGTTTAGCGCCTTTTTTCAATTCTTCTGTTTTTTTCGCAAAAAAAAACAACTAAAAGAGGACGTCGTAATTTTCCCTTTTCCTTTCCGCAATTAACTGCGACGTCACAGTTCTTGGATTTTTGCGCCGATTAATAATGCCGACACGAGCTTTTTTTCGTTAGCTGCTGGTGACTTCAGACAAAGGTTTCAAAATTTTCCTAACGCGACAGCATTCGTATTTCGGTAACTCAAAAATCCGCTGTCCCACATAAAAACTTTTTCACTTATTGGGAGGTTGGTGGCGGGGCGGTTGATCACACTACCCAATAACAGCAAAGACGAACCAAACAGGAATTCTTTTTTAATTTTATCTGGTTTTTTCTTCCTTCTTTCGATAACACAATAAAAACCGAACAATTTTTTCCACTTGCGCTAATTCTGTGCTGACGACTGACGCAAACGACGACGTGAACGCAACTGAATTGACAGCAAAAGCAATGACCATTTTGTCGACGTTCGTCAGCAGTCGGTCGGTACAGCAAACACCGAAACGAACGACGATGTTGACGTCTCGCGCGTTCGGTTCGGTTAAGGCACAGCAAGCAAGAACACGACCAACAACAACAAAATGAAAACAAAACAAAAAAAAGGCAGTTGAAGTAGAAAAATGTTCACACACAATTGAGCGCACATACATACGGACAGACAGCGTTGGCTTCTGGTTTTTAAATTTGAAACGTCGTCCGTGATGGCCAATCGTGGGCACTTGGGGTATATTATGGAAATGTAATGAGGATTATTAGGTTCGGATTCTAAGGTCCATATATTTTGACCTAAAACAGATCCAGCCAAAAATGGTGAGAGACTATAATGGAACTTTGTTCGACTTTTAGGGGGATATTCAAAAAATCTGGGTCTTGAAACCGGTTTTTGACTGTACTGTAATCACTATAATTAAGCTTTTTTGACTTCTGGGGTTTTTTCAAAAACTCTGAGCTTATAAACAGGGGTTTTGACTCGATATTTTTATAAACTTTAAAATTATATCCATTTTGTATTAAACGGCTCTACATGTCCCTCTATAGAGACCTGTGGGTCTCAATACAGTCCGTTGCGGACTCTATAGTCCTGTGGGTCTCAATACAATCCGTTGCGGACTCTATAGTGTCCTGTGTGTCCCAATACAGTCCGTTGCAGACTCCATAGAGTCATGTGGGTCTCAATACAATCCGTTGCGGACTCTATAGGGACCTGTGGGTCTCAATACAGTCCGTTGCGGACTCTATAGGGACCTGTGGGTCTCAATACATGCGGTTGTGGACTCTATAGTGGGTCTCAATACAGTCCGTTGCGGACTCTATAGAGACCTTTGGGTCTCAATACAGTCAGATCTTTGAAATGCGTTATTCCAAATTGGATTGTAATATTTCTTCCACGCATAAACTTTGCTCATTCGAATATTTTGTTGCCCATCGATCTACTCCTTTGGTTACCTCCAGCAGATTCTAAATTTTTTGTTCAGCCCACGATGCAATAAATTAAGGTACCTTTTGTTAATAACGTAAATACGTTTACGCTGGTATAAATATTGGCCAATATTTATCGATAATTATGTTTTATTATCATTTGAAGTAGAATTTTAGGTACCTTTTCGTACTTTTTTGTTCCTACCTGTGGTAATGTTTTCCAACTCAATTCACAATTTACCAATGAGAGAAAAAACTCTCAACACCAATCCCAATCACCAACAGTGTAAAACCCCGCAAAAACAGCTGATCAATATACGTCAGCAACTATTTCTATCGCCGTCACACACAAAACATTTCAAGCATTTCAGTATGGCTCGGTTCTCTGACTGCAGCTGGCTGAACGTTGTTATTGTCCGTCGTGTCGTGTCTGCTCAACAAAACAAAATAAAATTATAAAATTAAAATTTGGCTTAATATTTTATCAAAAAAGTAAGGAAAATTGTTTACAAATAAATAAACCTATATACAGTAAATGCAGTAAATAACAACAACAACACCAAAGAAATGACATCTAAGCCAAAACGTCAACAACAAATCATGATTAAACAAAGCAATATTAACAACAAATACATGGGGGCGTTTGATAATAAATTATATTTGCATTGTTTCCACTTGTATTTTCTATGTTTATGCGAGTGTGTGCCCCGATGTGTTGAACTTCATTGTGGTCATTGTGGAAACAAAAAGTGGCACAAATGATTCACGAGTACTTCATACATTTTAAAGTAAAGTTCAGAATTCAGATAAGCCTGGTGTCCGTCCGTCCATCCATCGATCTCGTGAATTCATTTTCTTTCTTTGTCCACAACAATTGTGAGTTTTATCATCAAGTGTTGTTACAGTCGCCCTCGGATGATATTGACTTCATCATCCCCATCATCGTCAACACAGCATACGTTGTATCTTCTTCTTCGTCGTTTGTTTTTGTTGTTGCGGTGATGTGCGCTAATGTAAGAAGATAGAAAAAAAACAGATAACAACAGATAATAGCCTTGAAAAAAAAACTGAAAACAAGTGGCGGGAGTTTTCACCAAGAATAGCAAAAACAACAACTACAAAACATTTGCAAACAAAAAGTGAGCAACAATCAAATCAAAGTAACTTTTCTTTTGAAACAAAAAAGAAAGAATGTCTGCCTTCCTTCCACCTTCCTTCCACCCCATCCCGCCTAGTAGCCAGCATATCAAAATTCTTATCACTTTGCTGCGGGTTTGGTTGTTTCATATTTTTCATATTTCGTAGATAGTATCATCATCAAAAAATTAAAATTATCAAATAAATGATATTTGTTGTATAGATACGTTACCCGACCGACCGACATTGATTTCGAGCTCTTCAAGTGATGAATTTTGCAATCGTCGTCGTCATTAATTTCAAATCGTGAATAATTTCTTTTGTTTTTAATTTTCGTTTTCAGATTAAAAATTATTGACGTAGTAATAAGTGAGTGTTCGCGTGTATAACCGTTCTTCAAAGTGTTGTGAGCGAGCTACAACTATTACTACCCGTTGACGACCAGATTTGCGGCTGGTTGGTAGTAAGATATAGAAGCTCTTTTTTCGCTGTGTGTTTGCTGAAATCCATATGAGCCCTCATCGTACCCGCAGGATGAGCCATAATTATAATGACATCCCTGTGGGTGTATTGACCGTGCAGAAATTATCACGCAGCTGTTGTCCACAATTGCGATGGAAAAAGGAAACAATGTAAGTAGAGTTAAAAAAAATTATATTATTTTTAAATAATTTTTTTATTCTTAAACAACGTACAAAAGTCGATGTTCGCTCAGACAATTTTGTATGGGGAACTAAGTAATTACTTCATAATTAAGGGTCGAACAACGAATGAGAGAGCGAACAACGCTCGTCTGTACATGACATTAGAAAAGTAGATTATAAATGGCCAAGTTATGTCATTTAGACATTCTGATTAAATTCCAGGCTGCCAAATGTGGCCCTGAGGCTCTGAGAAATGGATGCCTGGAAATCGCTGAACCATGGTCACGCTAGTATCCTCAACATAACGCAAGGTTGTGATTTCTTGAGGAGAAATACTCACATTAGTCAATATGTTCCCTCTCATTGTGACTTTATTGACATCAGAGTAGAGTTTCATAGTAGGGAATCCTGGACTAGTGGCTCCTTACCTCTGCCAGGCCTGTCACTTTTCACAGATGGGTCAAAGATGGAGGAAGGCACTGGTACAGCCGTTTACTGTGGGGAATTAGAAATATACAACTCATATAAATTTAACAATCTTTGTAGCGTTTTGTCAAGCAGAATCCTTGCAATCACGGAAGCGTCTGAGATAGTCAAAACACTGCCGAAAATACGGGACCGATGACTATATATGTCGATAGTCAGGCGGCCCTCATTCTTTGAAGTCGTGCACTATAAACTGAAAAGCAGTTCTTGATTGCAAGTCCGCTCTGCATGATATACGACGGATTGTTAATTTATGTTGGGTTCCAGGACATAGTGACATAGAAGGGAGCGAGAGTTTGCTCGAGAGGGCTGAAAATCGTTCAATCCTCCGATTGAGCGATCTGTGCAACCACCCATTGGCTATTTCATTGGCAAAATCCATTTGTTCTACGGCGAGGTAGTCATTCGGTCGAGAGAACCTGTTTGGAGAATCTCAAAATCTATCTGGCCTGAACTGTCCCCGAAGAACTTCTTCACTGTTGTCTCATAATAAGAGAAAGATCAAAATCATCGTGGGGATCATAAACAGTTTAACAGAAGACATAAATAGTTTGAAAGATATGAATTTGATAATCTAGCTTCTAGCTTCTCTAAAATAGACCCCAATCGAATCCTAGGATTTGTCAAAAATCTGTCATCGCTAAAATAACCATCTCTAGGCTCTCTTCCTTCTACTATTTTCTCCTCTCTTCCACTCTCACTTCTTTTCCCGTTTTTTTTTTTCAGGCGTCAAAGATGATCTGGTCACTATAAAAACCTCTGGTCTCAGTATAAAGGCCTCTGGCATCTTTATAGACCTCTGGCATCTTTAAAGACCTCTGGCATCTTTAAAGACCTCTGGTTTCTATAAATACCTTTTGGTCTCTATAAAGACTCCTGGTCTCTATAAATGCCTTTTGGGCTTTATGAAGACCCCTGGTCTCCATAAAGAGCGTTTGGTCTCTATAAAGACTCCTGGCCTCTATAAATACCTTTTGGACTCTATAAGGACCCCTGGTCACCATAAAGACAACTCGTCTCCATAAAGATCTTTTCGTCCATGTAAAGATCTAAAGATCTTTTGGTATCCAAGAAAGACCCCTCGTAATATAAATACTTTTTGGCCTCTATAAAGACCCCTGGTCTCCATAAAGACCTTTTGGTCTCCATAAAGACCTTTTGGTCTCTATAAAGACCTTTGGTCTCTATAAAGAGCACTGGTCCCCAAAAATATCTTTTGGTCAATATAAAGACCTCTGGTCTCTATGAAAACCCTTGGTCTTCATAAACACTTTTTGGGCTCTCTAAAGATCACCGGTCTCTATAAAGTCCTCTGGTCTCTATAAAGACCATTTGGTCTCTATAAAGACCCCTGGTCTCCATACAGACCTTTTGGTCTATATAAAGACCTCTGGCCTTTATAAAGTCCTCTCGTCTCTTTAAATACCTTTTGGTCTCTTTAAAGTCATCTCGTTTCTATAAAGACCCTTGTCTCCATAAAGACGTTTTTTGGTCTCTATGAAGTCCTCTTGTCCTCAGGTCTTTATAATGACATATGGCCTCTTTAAAGTCATCTGGCCTCTATAAAAAACACTGGTATCTGTAGAAACCTCTCTGAAAAATATTAAGAACTCCAATCTCTAAAAAAAGTGATTTTCAAAGTATAAGATCCTTTTAAATCTATAAAATCTTATGAGACTTTGAGCCCTCTTAAAAATACATCAACCTCTGATAAGTTCGAACGTTTTGTCAGTGAAAAAAATTCTATTAAACCTTAGATGAGGTCGAGCATTTTTCAAAGGATTTTTTTATAGAGCATTCTGATTTTTTTCAGAAAAAATGTTTCGATTTCAAAAGAGGTCTGATATTTTTATAGAAAAAAAAATTCATTCGACCACCATCAATTTTTTCTTATTTAAAAAGAAATTGCGCACGACTTCAGTTAGCGATTTCTTTGATGCTGGCTCGGTCACTGCCATTATTTGTTAATGACTCAAAATTTGCATCTCTAAATTATGACCGGACGAAAATGTGTGTGTGTGTTTTACATTATTCATGAATTAGAAACAATGCCGTCTTTATTAAAAAATCGTCTTCTTGACATGTTTGTTGTTACAAATCTCTTCTCATCTGAATGAAATAAATAAATACTGGAGGAATTAAAATACTTTAAACATGACTAACTTTGTTTCATTGCAAATCTAATAAATATTTCCCCTCTTTTATTCCAGATTCAAAGCGTCAACCTTTGTGTTGACCTATTTAGCCTATACTTGTTATCATATGTCGCGTAAACCGATATCCGTTGTCAAATCGGTATTGCACACGAATTGTAGTGAATCGGTGGTGCATAATACCTCCTCAAATGACTGTGGCTATGCACCATTTGGTAAGGAAGTTTTTTTTTTAATAAAATCGAAATTATTTTATATTCCTTTATTCCCCTGCAGATGATGCAAATGCTCCCGCCTTATTTGCCGCCCTGGATTCAGCCTTTCTTTTCTCCTATGCCGCTGCCATGTTTGTATCGGGTTTTGTGGCCGAACGGGTATCGCTGCGTTACTTCTTGGCATTTGGCATGATCTTTTCGGGTGTCTTTTCGTATCTCTTTGGCATGGCCAAAACATGGAATCTGCACGCCATGTCCTTTTTCATTTTCGTACAAGTCTGTGCGGGTATAACACAAACAACCGGCTGGCCTGGTGTTGTGGCCTTAATTGGCCGTTGGTTTGGCAAATCAAAGCGTGGTCTTGTATTTGGCATATGGAATAGTCATACATCGATTGGTAATATTTTGGGCACCCTTATCGCGGCCCAATATGTTGAAAAAGATTGGGCTTTGTCGTTTATAATGCCCGGTATTATTATTGCCAGTGTGGGTTTTATATTGTTTTTATTCCTGGTGGATTGTCCCGAAATGGTGGGATGTTATCCTGAAGCCACAGGCATCACGGATAGATCGCCGCCCAATGATTCAGATATTGAAGAGGAAAATACCAACTATGATGCGGTGAGTGTGATGAAAGGCCTCCTCCCCCATAACATCAAATATATATTTTTCATTTTCTTTTCAGGAAATAAATTATCGACCCTCAGAACGCACACCGATTCTAGATAACCGATCCGCCACCCACAATGCCCACGCTGAACGTCCCATTGGCCTTAAAGATGCCCTACGCATTCCCGGTGTCATTGAATTCTCACTATGTTTATTCTTCTCCAAATTGGTCAGCTATACATTCCTTTATTGGCTGCCATTATATATCCAATCTTCGAGTACCTTGGGTCCGGAACTATCAGCCGATTTATCCATACTCTTTGATGTGGGTGGTATATTTGGTGCCATTGTTGCTGGTATGATATCGGATATGTCTGGCATGTCGGCCACAACGTGTATGGTCATGTTGTTTTTGGCATCACCAGTGGTACGTAGTCTCCGTCCATTACTTCGGACTCAAAAAAAAAATAAATTGATTTTCATTTTTCGGGATTTTTCTTGCAGCTTTTGGTCTATCAAGCATATGGAGCCACTTCAGTATTTGTTAGTGTATTTCTATTAATTGTTGCCGGATTTCTGGTAAATGGTCCATATGCATTGATCACAACATCCGTGAGTGCAGAACTGGGCCAGCATAGCTCACTGGAGGGTAATGCCAAGGCATTAGCCACGGTGACAGCGATCATTGATGGTACTGGATCTATAGGTAAGTTTGACAAGGAACTATGGTTTGGAATTTGTGAAGAAGATAAGAGGAGATTTTCTGTTAACAGAAATTAATGAATTTGAATTTCCATATAATGCATCGAACAGCTATCCTTGGGTATTCTTTGGATAGAGGAGGTCTTCAATAGCTAGAAGAAGTCTTATGTAGGTAGAGTCAAAGATGTTGTATGTGAACCGAAGAAGTCTGCTATTGATAGAAGAGGTATTCTATGGGACAAGAGATCTGCCATGGACCGATGAAATCCTCAATTAATCGAAGGAGGCCTTCTTTTGATAAAAGATGTCTTCCGAGGATAGAAAAGGTCTTCACAGGATAATAGAGGTCTTCCGAGGATAGAAGAGTTCTTCAGAGGATAGAAGAAGTTTTCAGAGGATAGAAGAGGTATACTATCAGTAAAAAAGAGAGGTCTTCCATGGACCGAAGAGATTCTCCATTAATCGAAGGAGGCCTTCTATAAATAAAAGATGTCTTCTGAGGATAGAAGAGGCCTTCAGAGGATAGAAGAGGTCTTCAAAGGATAGAAAAGGTCTTCGGAGGATAGAAGAAGTTTCAGAGGATAGAAGAAGTTTCAGAGGATAGAAGAGGTATACTATAGGTAAAAAAAGGTTCTATGTGGATCGAAGTGGTCTTGTAGGGATACAGGAGGTCTTCTATTTATAGAAGAGGTCTTCAGAGGATAGAAGAGGTATACTATAGGTAAAAAAGAGGTCTTCCATAGACCGAACAGATCCTCTATTAATCGAAGGAGGTCATCTGTGGATAGAAGATGTCTTCACTACTACTATAGGTAAAAACGAGATTTTATGTGGATAGAGAGATTGGTTATCTATTGACAAAAGTGTTATTGTAGGGATACAGGAGGGTGGAAGAGGTCTCTGGGGATAGAAGAGGCCTTCTGATGATAAAAAAAGGCCTTCCGAGTGGGTCTTCCGAATGGGTACTCTATGGATAAAATTTGTATTTTTGTGATACGTTAGGTTTCCTAGGGAAAGAAGAAGGTGTTCTACAGATAAAGTAACTCTTCTGGGGATAGACGAAGAAATTATAAATATGTGAGAGGTATTATGTAGAAACCAGAGGTAATCTATGAGCTCTTCTACAAGTACAGAAGGATTTAAATTTTTTCTAAACACAATTTTTTATTATTCTCTCTCTCTCTTTCCCTCTCTCAACCCAGGTGCCGCTGTGGGTCCCCTTATGGCCGGTATGATATCCAGTGGTGGTTGGCAAAATGTTTTCTATATGTTGATTGTATCCGATTTTATTGCAATGCTGCTATTGGTGCGATTAGTTAAAAAGGAATGCACACGCGTGACCAGATCACGAATACGCATAGAATAATATTGTTTTTATTGTCTCACTGTGTGTACATTTGTTTTTGTGTGCTGCTGTGTGTGTGTATGAATGTGTGTATGTATTGTATATATATAAAAATACGAATCAATCAACAAACAAATGCCTTCTTCCTCTCAATCATATCGTCGCGGATGTGTTACGAAAAAAAGTCTACGATCACATTTTTTATATACGTCTTGGATTGGTTTAAACAGACTTTTTAGCCACAATTATTATTTTTTTATAATTATTTTTTTTTTATTTTAATTATATATGTATGTAAGTTTTAAAACCGATTTTGTATTTATAACTGAGGCCTAGTTTCTTTTTTATCAATTTTTGATGTTGAAATAAAAAAGAAAGCCAAACGATTTTTATAACTTAATCTCTATCATTGACTGTAATTGTATAAAAAAAATAAATAAAATAAAAATATATATTTCAAATTTTAAGTAGCGGTATTTTATTGAAAATCTAATATCCACAATTAGCCAGGGAAGGCCAATTACAGGCCATCGAATTCATGTCGAAATGTAAATCGGGTGGACAAATAAAATCATGACGTTTACCACCAACACACTGATAGAAACGATTGCAATCATATTCGTGGGTAAAATAACCATCTTCCGAACACAAATTTTCTGGTGTAGATGGTGGGGGTCCTCCAGGTGTAGTTGAGGTCACCACAGGCTTCATGGTGGTGGTTGTTGTTGAAGTCGCAGATCCTGTTGTTGAATTCTCTTGGCCTTCCATGCCCATTCCAATTTTACGATTTATTGTATTTAGCAAAGGATATTGTTCACCTCCGCATTCTCCCCGAAAATCATCTGTCTCTATGGACCATAACATAACGCCGGCTAGATTTAAGCTTCTCATATAATTCAATTTCAATTCCAGACTTTGGACATTATCATAACCAATCCATTGATTGTCATTATATGTATATGGTACACCATGTTCGGCATTAAATACCGTGGTCCAAACACCGGCAGTTTGTAGGGTGCATATCTCATTGTAACCCATAAAACCCGATTCACGTGTATAGGGACCTGGCGCTCCTGCACCAGAAGAAGGTGAACCGGGTGTGGTTAGTTTGTTATTTGCCAGTTGGAAGGTTCGGCCATAAAATGCCAAGCCTAAAACCAATTTGGATGCAGGGGCACCTGAAGGGGAAAATGGATTTAACGAATATGAATTTCAAAAAAATCGAAGCAGTAAAATTCGCTCGTGAAAATCTCCCCAAATTTTGGGCGCCATAATTTCCCCAAAAAAGTATGGGGTTATTAATTGGGAAGGAGGAGATTCTCCCGAGATAATTTTGAATTGTGTTATATAGGTTCTGTGTTATATTCGGTTCTTACCATTTTGCAACCAATATCCAATACAGTTTTCAACATTGTTGTCACCCTGTCCTCTAAGGGGTGCATTGGAACCCAATACACCATCCGAAGCCATGCCCAAATCATAGGTCATAACGTTGATAAAATCCACATATTTTGCAATATTTGGTATATCATAGGAGGTGGAAGCGGTGTAGGCGGATGCACCTACTGCAATGCTCAGTTCCAGATTTAAAGGTGTGAAGCTGAAATAAAAATAAAGTTCAAATGTGTGATTCCGATTCTTTTTTGGATAGAAAAGGTCTTCAACTGAACTGGGTAGAGGAGGTCTTTTATGGGTAGAAGAGGTCTTCTATGGATCGAAGCATTAGACGAATAGAAATATTGAACAAGACTTCAATGTAATTCTTCTAGTAATATAAGAGGCATTCTATGGATAGACTTGTTCTAGGGGTAAAGAGGTCTTCAAGGGATAGAAGAGGTCTTCTTAGGGATAGAAGATGTATTCTTAGGGATAGAAGAGACCTTCTATCGATAAAGGAGGTCTTCCCTATTCTATTCTATGAATAGAATAGGTTTCCGAGAATAAAAGAGGTTTTGTATAGTTAGAAAAAGAGCTTCTAGGAGGATTGAAGTGGTATTATAAGGATACAGGAGATCTTCTATGGAAAGAAGAGGTCTTCATGCGGTGGAAGAGGTCTTCTAGGGATGAAAGAGGTCTTCCTAGGGCTAGAAGATGTCTTCTAGCGACAGATTAGTACAGATCTTCTATGGATCGGAGAGGTATTCTATGAATATAACAGGTCTTCTAAAAACCGAGGAAGTCTTCTATGGATATAAGAGGTATTATGTGGATAGTAGGGATAGAAGAGGTCTTCTTAGGGATAGAATAGGTGTTGTACATATAGAAGAGGTTTTATATGGACAGTAAATGTCTTCCTATGGATAAAAGAGGTCTTCTAGGGATAAAAGAGGTCTTCTATGGATAGAAGAGTTTTCCTAATTTTTTTCTCAGAAGATAAAAATCCGCTTACCAAGAATTTATGACAACATAGTCTTCATATAAAGGCCTCTACCGATTTCAGGTACTTTAATTGTCCACTTCAAGTTCTTTGGTGTGATCGAAATTTACGATGGTTTTTTTCTTTCATTTTCTAAAATAGAATTTTTTCGACTTACCTTTCTTTTAATTCCCTTAAAAGTACAACAAAATTATGCTTGTCATCCATCGAGCCACCCCTTTGGCCGGGATATTCCCAATCCAAGTCGATGCCATCAAAACCATGTTGGCGTACGAAATCCACTGTTGATTGAATAAATCGTTTACGTTTTGCTGGATCACCTGCCATTTGGGAATATTTTATAGAACCTTCATTCCAGCCACCAATTGCTGCCAAAACTTTAAGATTTGAATTGTCGTGCTTCAAAGCCATTGTACGTTTAATGAAATCTGAGGTAGAAGGGATGAAATTTCTATAAATTATCTAAATTAATTAATTCAATTCTTTAGATACACACTTAAATCCATATCGAGCCATGCATCCAACATGCGAAATTCTCCCACCTCCGTTATGCCAAAGAATGAATAACTCAAATGGGTACATAAATTCGCATTGATATGTTCCGGTTCAAATTGACCCAAACCGGGACGATAATTGGACCAGGTGCCAAAGTAGCAGTTGATGATTTTTGCTGCAAAACAATTAGCAATAAAATGGGATAGTATAATTATTTAATATATATATATATATATATATATATATGAAGCCAAGATATCTATAGGAAGAAGATATCTTCTGTTTCAAGATCCGCACTTACCATTACAGCTACATGCCCCCAATAAGCTAAAAAATGCTATCACTAGAATTTCGAACTTCATGTTTCCCACTATTGCTCTAAATTAAGTGTCTCCATGGGTCTTGAGTTCGTTTCTTTTATAAACTCGAATAAGAAGATAACATCTTAAACTATTTACTGTGGCGCTTTGTGGTTATTATTATTTTTATATTTGCTTCTTCAAATAGATAATAAATATCCATATTTTATAATCTAAATATTCTTAGAAGAACTCCTACTCGGAGAAGATAGGTATTTTCTATTTCTTATTGCGTTTGTAACTCTGGGAGTTTAGATTTTTCATTCTGAGATAGATCCGATAAATTTTCGAACCTTATATTAATTTCTGAACAAAGAAAAATGTTCTGTATGGAACGGAAATGTATTTTTCATCATTAGAAAAAGGATCTGGTATTGCCTTGAATCCTTCAGCTTTTCTAGAGATAGAAGAGGTCTACAATTGATGATGACGATTTATCTGGGTAGAAGAAGTCTTCAATGGATTGAAGAGGCATTCTATGACTCGAAGAGTTACTCTGTCAATATTAAAGTTATCCCACGAATAGAAAAGATTGGAAAAGTCTTCTATTTACAGAAGAGGAAGAGTTATTCTATCGATACATAAGGATTGGGGAGAAGTCTTCTCCGACAAGCCGAAAAGGTTGGCAATGGATCGCAGAGGTGTTCTATGAAGGATCGAAGAAGTCTTCTTTGAACCGAAAAGTATTTATCGGGATATAAGACGTCTTCAATGGAAATGAAGAAATATTCTTTTCAACGAAGAAGACTTCTAGAGACAGAATAGTTTTTCAATTGATAAAAGTGGTCCGAAAAAAATTCTATGGGATAGACGATGTCTCCTGTGGCCCGTTATGAACACATGTTAAATTTTGTTTCGATCTGGCAACTCCTTCATATAGAAACATGTGTTCCAAATGTGTTCAAAAATTAAAGCATTTCTAATTTTTCCATTGTAAAAAATTGCGGATGAGTCTTTTTTGAACAACTGTTTCTATATGAAGGAGTTGCCAGATCGAAACAAAATTTAACATATGTCCATAACAGAGATAGAAGTTTCAAAAACACGTAACTTTTTTCTGTTTATATCGTGCTTTTTGTGCTAGGCTAAGAAATTTCCGAACTGCCTCTTAAAAGGGCTCTTCCATGGATATTAGAAACGGCACTTCGATGGACAGAAGAGGTTTTCTATGAATAGAAGAGATATTCAATGAATTAAAGAGGTCTTCGAGGGATATAAGAGGTCTTCTAGGAACAAAAGAAGTCTTCCTAGGGATAGAAGATTTCTTCTAGAGATAGAATAGGTCTTCCTACTGATATATGTCTTCTAGGGTTAGAATAGCCCCCTTCAATGGATAGGAGCTTTTGAAGAAGTCTTCTAGGGATAGAGTAGATCTTCCTAGGGATTGGAGATAGGTATTTTATGAATAAAATAGCTCTTCTATGGATAAAAGTGGTATTCTTAGGGATAGGAGATGCCTTCTAGAGATAGAATGGTTCTTCTATGGATAGAAGAGGTCTTTTAGACATAAAAGAGGCCTTCTATGGATAGAAGAGGTTTTCCTAGGGATTGAAGAGGTTTTCTATGGATCGGAGAGGTATTCTTAGAATATAACAGGCCTGTTAAAGATCAAATACGTCTTCTATGCATATAAGAGGTCTTCTATGAATGTTATCTTCCTTGGAATAGAAAATATGCACCGTGGATTACATTTGTTTATAGCCCATATATTATGGGGCCTTCTATGGATTAATCTATGAATAGAAGAGATCTTCCATGGATAGAAGAGGTCTTCTATGAAAAAAAGGTCATCCATGGATAGAATAGGTCTTCTATGGATGGATTGAAAATGACTTCTATATATTGAAAAGCCTATCTATGGATAGAAGAAGCCTTTCTGGGGATAGAAGATGTCTTCTAAGATTAGAATAGGTCTTCTAGAGCTAGAATAGGTTTTTTACCGTTGGTAGAGGTCTTTTATGGATAGAAGTGGTCTTCTATGGATATAATAGGTCTTCAAGAGGTAGAAGAGGTCTTCTAGATGTAGAATAGGTTTTTTTATGAATAGAATGGGTTTTCTACGGCTAGAAGATGAATAGAGGCAAGAGGTATTCTATTGATATAAGAGGCCTTCCCAGGTATATTAGATATAGATAGAATAGCAATTTTATGAATACAAGAGTTATGTTACAAGAGTATTATGTATTGAATATGGCAGCAGGGTCTATTCTTATTTCTCTTTTTCCTATCTTACTTTTCTATATTCTAACTTTTTAGTCTTTCTCGAATTTCCTAAGCGCCAATAAAGATGTTTTCTGTGTTGGTCAATGTTTAAGATATAGCGTCCAGTAGATTATAGTTTTTCATAGTCCCTCCCCTGTATTACAATAAAAAGACCATCCAGAGATCATACATAGATGTATCATTTGTAGAGGAAGACTTCCTAGGAAAAGTCTTTACTTTCTTAATTTTTAAAGGGAATTTCACTATTCGAACTCACATTACTTTCTAAAAAAAATTATCTATTTTATCTTAAGATAATTTATTATTGCAGATAATACATCTTTTTTGGCATTATTTAGAAAAATATTTACTTTTCAAAACAAATGTTGTCAGGTGGATAAAGTGACCCGTTATCGTTTCAAACATAATTTAAACGTCAACGGCAACCTGTGTGGCACTCCTTTGCAGAATCATAAAAAACGGAAGTGAATATTTTTTTAGAAAAGTTATAAATTTGTCTTTCAATGGCTTTCAAAATAGAAAAAATTCACTTATCAAAAAACTGAATTTCTCTCCAACATCGTGATATATTTACCACACCCTGCACAAATGATTCATCGCGGAAAAGGCATCCATTTAAAATATATATATATATTTTTTTGGTATTCATATGTCTTGAAATTTTATTTCTAATATATCTCGTTTACAAATATTCAAGTTTAGTATATATTTCTTATATGTATAAACACATATCGGTATTGTTTCAACATTCCACCATAGCGGAATAATTACAATTTAAATTATTCAAATCGAAATACAATGTGGGTGGGCACTGGAAACTGTGGGCAATACCATTGTCACAGTAGTAAAATTTGCCACAATCTACAGCATCACGAATATAACCCGATTTGCCTTGACATTGGGCGACACCACCACTATTTGCCACAGAATTCATGTTGGATTGTCCATTGCCACCTGTCACATTATTATTTGCCTCGGGTTGCTTAGGTGTCTCAGGTTTCTTGGACAACTCAGGTTTCTTCGGCGTTTCATTTGGCGACTTTGTTGGCCGATAAACACCACCATTCAGCACATCATTGATGACATTCAATAGAGGGTATGGTTTTTTACCACAGACACCACGAAAATCATCCGATTCCAGGGACCACACCATAACGCCACCCAACTCTTCTTTGACCACATAGTATGCCTTCAGAGCTAAGCTTTTTTCATTTTCATAACCCAGCCAATTACGATCACTGTAAGCATAGGGTACTTTCTGATCCGCTTCCCATTCTAAATTCCATATGGATTTTTCCGTTTGTAATTTTTCACAAAATTCATTGTAGCCAATTACACCAGGTTCCAGAGAATATTGACCGGCAATGCCACGACCGATATGCGGCGCACCCACATTATGGTTATTCGAATTTTCCAACGTGAAAGAGCGCCCATAGAATGGTACACCTAAAATGAATTTTTCACGCACCGCACCTGAAAATAAATTAAAAATTACAAATTTTTTGGGGGGAAATATACAAGCATGGCATCCACCATAGTAACTAATTAAAATACAAATACCCCTATATCTATAAAATACCCTACCAATTAATATTTACCTTTACTCAACCAGTACTTAACAATAGCATCCACATTCATTTGTTTCGCAATTTCGGTGGTATCTTGCGGACCGGCATACAATGGAGCATTAATACCCACCACAGGAGCCCAGGGTCCATGTAAATCATAAGCCATGACATTGACAAAATCTAAATATTTCATCATTTCTGGAATATCATAAGAGATATCAGCCGAATGTTTAATAGAGCCCACAGCAGCGGTTAACATATAGCCAAAGGGTTCCAAACTAAAAACAATAAAAACCGCCCAATTAGTACCCAATAATAATTGTAATATTAAAAAAATGAACTTACCCCTCTTTCAACTCCCTCAGCAGCAGCAGGAAATTCGCACGATCATTATTTTGCAATTTATGCCTCTGTCCCGGATATTCCCAATCCAAATCGATACCATCAAAACCGTATTTTTGTAAAAATTGCACAACCGACGAAACAAATTTCTCACGCTTTGCTGGATCGGCCGCAACTATGGAAAATTTCTTTGATCCTTCATTCCAACCACCCACCGCTGCTAATGTTTTCAGCGTTGGATTTTTCAATTTAAGTGCATTGAATTTTCGTATATTCCCCCGTCCGTAATTATCTTCCAAATCCAAATAGGGATCAATGATACGCAAATCACCGCTCTCTTCAATCCCGAAAAAGGCATACATCAAATGGGTACAGAGAAATGGATCGATGGATTCGATATCAAATTTACCCGCGCCTTGACGGTATGTTGACCACGTGCCGTGATAGCAGACGACATTTTCTGGAAAAGTCAAAATAAAATAAACCCATAAAACATATTATTTTAAGTTCCAGATGGACACTGCTCAGGTATTGAAAAGGGATAGGAGATGCCTTCTAGAAATAGAATAGGTCTTCTATGGATAGAAGATGACTTTTAGACATAGAAGACAGTTTCTATGGATAGAAGAGGTCTTCCTAAGGATAGAAGAGGTCTTCCTGGGGATAGAAGAGGTCTTCCTAGGGATAGAAGAGGTTTTATATAAGAGGTCTTCCTAGGGATAGAAGAGGTTTTATATAAGAGGTCTTCCTAGGGATAGAAGAGGTTTTATATAAGAGGTCTTCCTAGGGATAGAAGAGGTTTTATTAAAGAGGTCTTCTATGGATCTTCAGGGATTGAAAAAATATTCTTTAATAAATCCACGCCTGTTTTAGTCCTTGAAAAAAATATGCTTTAATAAATCCACGCCTGTTTTAGTCCTTGAAAAAAATATGCTTTAATAAATCCACGCCTGTTTTAGTCCTTGAAAAAAATATGCTTTAATAAATCCACGCCTGTTTTAGTCCTTGAAAAAAATATGCTTTAATAAATCCACGCCTGTTTTAGTCCTTGAAAAAAATATGCTTTAATAAATCCACGCCTGTTTTAGTCCTTGAAAAAAATATGCTTTAATAAATCCACGCCTGTTTTAGTCCTTGAAAAAATATTCTATAATAATAACCACGCCTGTTTTAGTCCTTGAAAAAATATTCTTTAATAAAACCACGCCTGTTTTAGTCCTTGAAAAAATATTCTTTAATAAATCCACGCCTGTTTTAGTCCTTGAAAAAATATTCTTTAATAAATCCACGCCTGTTTTAGTCCTTGAAAAAATATTCGTTAATAAATCCACGCCTGTTTTAGTCCTTGAAAAAATATTCTTTAATAAATCCACGCCTGTTTTAGTCCTTGAAAAAATATTCTTTAATAAATCCACGCCTGTTTTAGTCCTTGAAAAAATATTCTTTAATAAATCCACGCCTGTTTTAGTCCTTGAAAAAATATTCTTTAATAAATCCACGCCTGTTTTAGTCCTTGAAAAAATATTCTTTAATAAATCCACGCCTGTTTTAGTCCTTGAAAAAATATTCTTTAATAAATCCACGCCTGTTTTAGTCCTTGAAAAAATATTCTTTAATAAATCCACGCCTGTTTTAGTCCTTGAAAAAATATTCTTTAATAAATCCACGCCTGTTTTAGTCCTTGAAAAAATATTCTTTAATAAATCCACGCCTGTTTTAGTCCTTGAAAAAATATTCTTTAATAAATCCACGCCTGTTTTAGTCCTTGAAAAAATATTCTTTAATAAATCCACGCCTGTTTTAGTCCTTGAAAAAATATTCTTTAATAAATCCACGCCTGTTTTAGTCCTTGAAAAAATATTCTTTAATAAATCCACGCCTGTTTTAGTCCTAATATTCTTTAATAAATCCACGCCTGTTTTAGTCCTTGAAAAAATATTCTTTAATAAATCCACGCCTGTTTTAGTCCTTGAAAAAATATTCTTTAATAAATCCACGCCTGTTTTAGTCCTTGAAAAAATATTCTTTAATAAATCCACGCCTGTTTTAGTCCTTGAAAAAATATTCTTTAATAAATCCACGCCTGTTTTAGTCCTTGAAAAAATATTCTTTAATAAATCCACGCCTGTTTTAGTCCTTGAAAAAATATTCTTTAATAAATCCACGCCTGTTTTAGTCCTTGAAAAAATATTCTTTAATAAATCCACGCCTGTTTTAGTCCTTGAAAAAATATTCTTTAATAAATCCACGCCTGTTTTAGTCCTTGAAAAAATATTCTTTAATAAATCCACGCCTGTTTTAGTCCTTGAAAAAATATTCTTTAATAAATCCACGCCTGTTTTAGTCCTTGAAAAAATATTCTTTAATAAATCCACGCCTGTTTTAGTCCTTGAAAAAATATTCTTTAATAAATCCACGCCTGTTTTAGTCCTTGAAAAAATATTCTTTAATAAATCCACGCCTGTTTTAGTCCTTGAAAAAATATTCTTTAATAAATCCACGCCTGTTTTAGTCCTTGAAAAAATATTCTTTAATAAATCCACGCCTGTTTTAGTCCTTGAAAAAATATTCTTTAATAAATCCACGCCTGTTTTAGTCCTTGAAAAAATATTCTTTAATAAATCCACGCCTGTTTTAGTCCTTGAAAAAATATTCTTTAATAAATCCACGCCTGTTTTAGTCCTTGAAAAAATATTCTTTAATAAATCCACGCCTGTTTTAGTCCTTGAAAAAATATTCTTTAATAAATCCACGCCTGTTTTAGTCCTTGAAAAAATATTCTTTAATAAATCCACGCCTGTTTTAGTCCTTGAAAAAATATTCTTTAATAAATCCACGCCTGTTTTAGTCCTTGAAAAAATATTCTTTAATAAATCCACGCCTGTTTCAGTCCTTGAAAAAATATTCTTTAATAAATCCACGCCTGTTTTAGTCCTTGAAAAAATATTCTTTAATAAATCCACGCCTTGAAAAAATATTCTTTAATAAATCCACGCCTGTTTTAGTCCTTGAAAAAATATTCTTTAATAAATCCACGCCTGTTTTAGTCCTTGAAAAAATATTCTTTAATAAATCCACGCCTTGAAAAAATATTCTTTAATAAATCCACGCCTTGAAAAAATATTCTTTAATAAATCCACGCCTGTTTTAGTCCTTGAAGAAATATTCTTTAATAAATCCACGCCTGTTTTAGTCCTTGAAAAAATATTCTTTAATAAATCCACGCCTGTTTAAGTCCTTGAAGAAATATTCTTTAATAAATCCACGCCTGTTTTAGTCCTTGAAAAAATATTCTTTAATAAATCCACGCCTTGAAAAAATATTCTTTAATAAATCCACGCCTTGGCTAGGCCTTGAAAAAATATTCTTTAATAAATCCACGCCTTGAAAAAATATTCTTTAATAAATCCACGCCTTGGCTAGACCTTGAAAAAATATTCTTTAATAAATCCACGCCTTGAAAAAATATTCTTTAATAAATCCACGCCTTGAAAAAATATTCTTTACTAAATCCACGCCTAGAAAAAATATTCTTTAATAAATCCACGCCTTGAAAAAATATTCTTTAAAAAATCCATGTCTTAAAAAAATATTCTTTAATAAATCCACGCCTGTTTTAGACCTTGAAAAAATATTCTTTAATAAATCCACGCCTGTTTTAGACCTTGAAAAAATATTCTTTAATAAATCCACGCCTGTTTTAGGCCTTGAAAAAAATATTCTTTAAAAAATCCACGCCTGTTGATAAGGCTTGAAAAAATATTCTTTAATAAATCCACGCCTGTTTTAGACCTTGAAAAAATATCCTTTAATAAATCCACGCCTCAGTTGGCCCTTGAAAAATATTCTTTAATAAATCCACGCCTCAGTTGGCCCTTGAAAAATATTCTATAATAAATCCACGCCTGTTTTAGACCTTGAAAAAATATTCTTTAATAAATCCACGCCTGTTTTAGACCTTGAAAAAATATTCTTTAATAAATCCACGCCTTGAAAAAATATTCTTTAAAAAATCCATGTCTTAAAAAAATATTCTTTAATAAATCCACGCCTTGAAAAAATATTCTTTAAAAAATCCATGTCTTAAAAAAATATTCTTTAATAAATCCACGCCTTGATAAAATATTCTTTAAAAAATTCATGTCTTAAAAAAACATTCTTTAATAAATCCACGCCTTGATATGCTTTTAAAAATACACGCACACACAATAAACTCATATTAATTGTATTATAATTTTTCTATTTTTTTATCCTTTTTCAAATTCGATCATGACTCATACTTCTTTGTTTGGCCACAACAACTTGGCTTTGCTGCCATATCACCAAAAATGATGTCCATATAATAAGTTTAAATAACATTTCTCCGAAAAGAATATTGAAAACACTGCCGTTATTTTTTCGTATTTTTTACTCGTCTCGTTTCGAATTTTCTCGTTACAACTGAATCCAATTAAGTGCAAAAGCTTGTATTTATAGGTCCGGTAGGTGATGTGGGTACACTCCTTTTTTAGTCCGTTATGTTGTTGTGCTTATTTTATATAAATATCGACATAATGATACACAACAAGTTATCTTGAAAAAATATATATTTTATTTTTTTCATTTCATTATTATGTACAAATTAATTGATAAGAATATATATGGGAAAGTACAAAATCAAAACGGAGATTCATTCTGAATGATAAATTCATCCCCTTTTTGTATTTATTGAAAATAAAAGTGAAAAGACTTGCTTTATTTCCTTTTCGAGAATTTCCAATATTGACCATCAAAACAAGGGTCAATGAAGTACTGTCTGACGATGTAAATTGCAAAAGAATTATGTTGTTGTTGTCTTGATAAGATAACATCATATTTTTTTACAACGTTTTGCACAAGAACAACAACAAATTGTTTCTTGTAAATATTTATTTACCATGACAGTAGTAGTCAATTGCCTTTTAATAAACACAATCATCGACTATTTTATAACAAATAACATTACTTTATTTTTTGGAAACACATATTTTCCACACTCTTATTACTATGGATTAAAATTTCTTTAATTTCGCTAATTGATTGTTGCGTCTCAGTGCCATTTTCCTTAAACGCCGCCAGTATTGTTTGGTATTTGGATCCATTTCTTCGAGCGGTATAATGCGATCAACATTTAATGTCCACAACCAATCGGGATATTCGGAATCGGGTTTCAACTAAAAAAGAAAAACAAATGGGAATTAATTTTTAGAAAATTAAAAAAATAATGAAAAATAAGTGATAGATTATATTATACAAGATAATATTATTAAGAAAAATGCGTAGATTTTTCAAAGAACTTTTTTAAGGATTAACCAAGGCGTATTTTTTTCAAGGAATCAATTTCATATAAAATCGTGGATTATTTAAAGAATAATTTTCAAGGCGGCGATTATTTAAAGAATATTTTTTTTAGGCATGGATTATTTAAAGAATATTTTTTCAAGGTATATCAAGGACAAAACAAACATGAATTCTATAAAGAACATTTTTTAAGGAGTACCGGGTGTGGATTTTTGAATGCTTTCGTTTTCGACAAAATAATATGCACCGGTTATTGATGGTTTTATATGAAAGAAAACCCCCTGAGCCACTATGAATTGACTATAGAATTGACTGATTTAATTCGATTGTACAAAAATTACAAAATACAAAATAAATTTGCAGATGTTGTTCGTGGACTTTGCACGAAGGAAATTTTGAGTTTACTGAATGCAATGAAAGTTAAATTCTTGATGTAAGGGTGCGTTCCCAAAATTAAATTCAAATTTGACAAGTCCATTTTGGAAAATTTTTAACATATCTTTCTATAAAGAACACTTCCTGATATTCCATAAAGGAGACTTTTTCGGTATTCTATAAGCAATTTTTATCATAGAATGGAGACAATTCAATTTATAAGTTTATTGTCATGGGGTTTTTTCACAAAGGACTTTCATCAATATATTTTTTTACAAAATGACCCGAGGGTCTATTGTAGAGAGACCTGAAAATCTTTTATAAGAAAACAAAAAGATATAGAAACGCAGAAGCTCTTATTTTATAGAAATCTACAATGATTTCTTTTATAGAAGACCTTAAGGTTTTATTTTATAGTAGACTCTTCCTGATATTCCATAAAAGAGACTTTCCGGTATTCTATAGGCAACGGAATTTTTACCATAGTAGGAGACTATTCAATTTATTAGCTTTTTGTCATGGGTTTGGTTTCACATAAGACTTTCATTAATATATTATCACTTAAAATGACCAGAGGGGCTATTGTAGAGACCTCAAAATCATCTTTTTTGGGAAAGCGAAAGGTATTCCACTATATGAAAACATATAAAAAAGCAGTAGGTCTTATGTTATAGAAAACTACAATGATTGGCTTAACTCTAGTTTAGTAAAAACGATCAGATTTTTCTGAAAAATTTTCCAGAGGTAGGTATTTTTACCCTAATTATGGGGATATCTTTTTTTCTTGGGGGACGTACCCGGTTACCCGGTTATTTGACCCGGAAGTTCGGGTACGGGTACCCGGTTATATCCGGTTCTACGGATCCGGTTAATTTAATATGGGTATCATTTTAAAGGTTATAAAAATACCTTTCCATTGAGTGGTAATATGATGGGGTTATCTCAAACCATTTTGGAGATATAGTCAACAAACTGGGTTTTGGTCCCCGATTTTTTTGAAAAACTCCCTAAAAGTCGAACTTGGGCACATTATAGTACCTCTCTAACCCAAACTCAAATGATAGACCACAATTTGCCCTTTCCAAAATGGTGCGATATGTGGCTGTATCTGTTGTGGATCAAAAGATATGGGCCTTAGAACCCTACAAAAACAAGAAAATTCTGTCGCGTAGCCGGTGTTGGTATCTGTCCATAGGAGAAAGTCTTAAATCCCCGGCCGGAGGCCGTCTACACAAAAAATATAATATTTAAAAGGATTTTCTGCCGCGTTAGCCGGTGTTGGCATCTGTCCATAGGTGAAAGTCTTAAATCCCCGGCCGAAGGCCGGTCACCCAAAAAAATATTCCATTTAACAAGAGATTCTGTCGCGTAGCCGGTGTTGGTATCTGTCCATAGGAGAAAGTCTTAAATCCCCGGCCGAAGGCCGGCTACACAAAAAAATATTCTATTTAGAAGGATTTTCTGCCGCGTTAGCCGGTGTTGGCATCTGTCCATAGGAGAAAGTCTTAAATCCCCGGCCGAAGGCCGGTCACCCAAAAAAATATTCCATTTAACAAGAGATTCTGTCGCGTAGCCGGTGTTGGTATCTGTCCATAGGAGAAAGTCTTAAATACCCGGCCGAAGGCCGGCTACACAAAAAAATATTCTATTTAGAAGGAGTTTCTGCCGCGTTAGCCGGTGTTGGCATCTGTCCATAGGAGAAAGTCTTAAATCCCCGGCCGAAGGCCGGTCACCCAAAAAAACTTTTCTATTTAACAAGAGATTCTGTCGCGTAGCCGGTGTTGGCATCTGTCCATAGGAGAAAGTCTTAAATTTTCGGCCGAAGGCCGGCTACACAAAAAACATTCTATTTAGAAGGAATTTCTTTCGCGTAGCCGGTGTTGGTATCTGTCCATAGGAGAAAGTCTTAAATCCCCGGCCGAAGGCCGGTCACCCAAAAAACACCATGCTATTTTAAAGGAGATTCTGTCATGTAGAAAGATTTTCCTTGTTTTTATAGGGTTCTAAGGCCCATATCTTTTGATCCACAACAGATACAGCCACATATCGCACCATTTTGGAAAGGGCAAATTGTGGTCTATCTTTTGGGTCCCGTTTGGAGAGGGACTATAATGGACCCAAGTTCGATTTTTAGGGAGTTTTTCAAAAAAATCGGGGACCAAAACCCAGTTTTTTTACTATATCCCCAAAATGGTTTGAGATAACCCCATCATATTACCACTCAATGGAAAGGTATTTTTATACCCTTTTAAATGATACCCATATTATATTAACCGGATCCGTAGAACCGGATATAACCGGGTACCCGTACCCGAACTTCCGGGTCAAATAACCGGGTAACCGGGTACGTCCCCCAAGAAAAAAAGATATCCCCATAATTAGGGTAAAAAACCTACCTCTGGAAAAAATTTCAGAAAAATTTGATCGTTTTTACTAAACTAGAGTTGTTCCCAATGATTTCTTTTATAGAAGACCTTAAGGTATTATTTTATAGTAGACCTGAGGAGTTATCTTCATAAAATAGATGAGGGGTTCCATTCAAAGAAAAGCAGAATGATATTTTTTCATAAAAGACCCTAAAATGGATTTATCTTTTTGTTTTCATAGAAGATCAGAAGGTATTTGTTCTTGTTGTTGTAGCAGCCCTATTGCTTTTACACAATGGCCTGAGGTGACAGACGTTGGCCGAGAAAGACTCGGGTCGTAGACCCCTCTGTAGTGGAATCGGGTATTTATTATTGACATCGTTTGTTGCTGCTGTTGTCATAACCACATTATGTTCACACACTCCATACAACTCACCTTAATATCTTCACCGGTCTTATAGATATTACTACCGCAAACATAATTCACCAATTTGTTGGCATCGGTTTCAACCGGTATCACCTTCTTTTCCATAATGGGTCCCAATTTACCCAACTTTTTCAGTTTCTTGGCAGCTGGAGGAGCTACAATGGAAACATAGAGTGATGAGTCTTTCCATCAAGAATATATTTATGCGGAAAATAAAAACTTACCAGCATAGGTACGAATTAGAGTTGTGGCTGCTGACTTTAACATCTGTTGCCTCAGGACATGCAGAGACATGTTTAATGTGTTCATTAAACTCATTTTGTCGAACTTTATTTAATAATAAATTGGATTTTAACACCAAAACTACTCCGGACACAAAATCTGTTCGGTTTATTTTACATAAACATAACCTCGAAATTTGCAGGGAAATGTCATAATACAGGTAGGGTTGCCAAGATAACTCGTTAAACGCATGTCATGTTTGAATTTTTCGACCAGTTTTTAACATACAAACGAAATATATTGTGAAATATTCATAAATAAAGAATATAGAGAGTAGGGAGATTATATTTTTTCCGACTTTTCCCTTCCAAAAACGATATTACTTTTTAAAGCTGAATTGTTTATTCATTAAGAACTATAATCAATTTGAAAATATAGATTTCATCTTTCAAAATATTTGGCAACCCTAGGAGAAACTAATTGTCAACATTTGTTTTGATAGAACAGCTGTTTTGCAGCTGGTTTCTGCCAATGCCTTTGCCGGTATAACCAGAATTTTTTTTATAGAAATCTTTTACAAAATAACTATTAAATAAAATTTCAATAAAATGCGCTTTCCTTCAAATAAAACATTGGCTAAATATGCTGTCTATATTGGCATAGCCGGCATCTCGAGTGTCATGTACATGAGATATAAAATCGAGGAGCGTATACGTAATACTGATTATTTCCGAACGGCGTTTAAGATTCTGAGGCAACACAAAGGTGAATATTTTAAAAAATACCACTATAAAGATTTCTATATTAATTAATAAATAAAAATTTGTAATTTTCATCTAGGTGCTGTTAGCCTTTTGGGTGAACCCATTAAAGATATGGGCTTTGACATAGGCGATTCCAATAATGCCTGTGATGGTCAGACAGCCAACTTCGAAGTATCCGTTAAAGGTTCCAAAGAAAGAGGTAAAATGTTTTTCTCAGCGATACGTAACGATGAGGCCGGCTGGCTAATAAATCGTTTGGAATTGGAGCTGAAATCTCAGCCAGATAAACGTTTTATTATACAAACAACACCAGGAACAGAAAACACTACCCCAGCTAAGCAAGAGTAAAGAAGAATTACTTTTGGATTAAAAGTATAAATAAATAAGTTTTTTTATAATTATTGTTATAAATAATTTTATTGTAGGACTATTTGACTAAAAATAAAACCTAATTTATAATACGGTTTGCGATATTTTGGACATATAGTTCTTGGGAAGGTATAAATAAAGAGATTATGGATACTCCTTGGGGAAAATACACTTAAAAATTCACTATTTTAAAAATAATAGGTACTTCTTTCCAAAACATTATTAAATAATTCAGTCCAGAGGGTCTTCATTCTTAGGAAAAAAGGGAGACTTCTTTCATATAAGAAGTGCTGCCACTTTTTTAAACTTAAAAACACCTTCTTGGCAAAACATTCTTAATTAATTCAGACTTTTTATAGAAGGCCAAATGGTCTATATTCGTAGAAGAGCAGGAGGACTTCTTTCATAAAAGGACAGATTGTCTTCATTAATAGATGGCCGTATGATCTTACTTAAATGATGACCGGATTATATTTTTTAGCTGTAAAGCCTTCTTTCATAGGTTCTTTTTTAATTAAAGATCGGATGGTCTTCATTCATAGTAGACCATACCAACTACTTCCATAAAAGACCAGCGATTTTCTTTGGTTTTACAGTTAATCATAGGGCCTTCCTTCATAGATGGGTTTTATTCTCTCATTGACGACTTTTTATATAGAAGGCCACAAGGCCTTTTATCACAAATCAGCGGAAGACCTTCTTTCATAGAATACCAAAAATACTTTCTCATAGAAGACTGGAAGGTCTATTTACGCATAAGAACAAAAGGTCTTTATCTCAGTCTTCCTTGGAAAAAATCCTTAAAAATATACGCCTATCATACATATATTCATTGGAAAAACATATAAAATAATCCATGCCAGGAGGAAACGAAAATTTAAAAAAAATGTTCTCTTTATCCGAAATAAATTTTGTATAACTCCCAGGTGTTTTATAGAATATCATTTGTAATTTGTTTATAGATGATATATACGATGAATGTGGTCTCTATTTATAGTGGACTTGCTTTATAGAAGACCAAAAAAAACTTCTCCCATAGATGGACCTTTCCAGCCTTCCATAAGTTAAGACCGATGCCTTAAAAGTATTTATTTTTTAAATCTACGTATTGGTTAATCCATAATTTTTTTAATCACGACTTAGTTCTTGAGAAAATATTCTTTAAAAAATCCACGCCTTGGTTAATGTTTAAACAAATATTTGTTAAAAAATCCACACCTTGGTTAATCTTTAAAAAAATATTTGTTAAAAAATCCACGCATTGGTTAATCTTTAAAAGATATTTGTTAAAAAATCCACGCCTTGAAAAATGTTTTTAATACACTTCTAATAACACTTCCACAAAAAATAAAACATCAAACCAATGTTTTTAACATTATTTTTCGTTTATTTAGTCTAAACGTTTTGTTCTATTATTATTTATATATACTTTTATTTTCGAATTGTATTTATTTAGTATTTCTTTTATAGGGAAGGGATTGTTTTTTTATTTTATAAATTAATTTAATTATTTTTTTAATTTATAATTTTATAAGATACATGTTTTGTTTTTTTTTACTTTTTGACAAGAGAAGGTTGTTGTTGTTGATTGGTATTTTTGTTTTCACGACAAGAGGAAGAGAGGAGGGTTTTTTGTTTTGTTTTAGTGAGGGGGTATTTAAAGTTTTAAAAACTTGTTTTGTTGCATGTTACTATTCTTAAGGAGGTTTTACTAATTATATATAGATTATTTTTTTCGATTTTGTTGTTTTGCATTTTTTTATATAAACAAAAGTAAACGGACCATTTTTTGTTTGTATATGCACACAATTACAAAGATATCTTGTATATAAATATATATAAAAAAGAAGAAACTCGTATAAAATGTTTTAATTTTCGTTTCTCTTAGCAATTTTTTGTAGATTTTTTTCTTGTTTTAAAAAAACTGCATAGTTTGAAAAAATACAACACAAATAATAATAAAAAAATAATGATAATATTTATGTATGTTTATAATAAAATAATTAAAAAAATAAAACAAAATATGTAAATTTATATGTATATATGTATATTGTTGATGTTTTCTGATAGTGTTGCTTTTGTTTGTTGTTGTATCGTTAGCTTTTTTTATAGTTATTGTATTTATATTAACATCACTAATCAGAATATTTTCTTTCATTTTGTTTTTGTAAAATTGTATACTATTAAGTTTGAAAATTAATAAAAAAAAAAAATAATAATTAATAGCAATTAATAAAAAATGCTTTATACTGTTTTTAATTTCATTTTATAAAACATGTTTTCCTTTCTTCAGGCATTGCTTAACTTTAAATCTAAAGAAAGTAAATAAATATTGAACCAAATATATTTTCACTTCGCATCAATAGGCGGCATTAGGCTTCACAAAGTATATGGAACAGAAGGCGGGGCAAATGTGTCATGTGTGTGGGGACTAGCTAGCTGGTGTATGTGGGAGGGACGGGGTGGTTGGTTGGTTGGTATTGGCTATGCATAATTGATAGAACTTGACAATTTTGTTGGAAACAATAACATCATATGTATATATAAATAAATATATAGAGTTCCTATATACTTTTTTTTTATAACAAGAGGAACCATTTAAACAATGACAATATCGTTGTTGTTGCTGTTTGTTTTTATGTTGTGTTATTACTGAGTGGCGATTTGGTAGTGGTTGGTATTACATCTCACCACATTTATTTCACTTTCCCAGAGGAAGACTGGTTGGCCTCTTTACTAGAACTATTGTTGGTGTTGATGATGACAATGTTGCTGTGGATGCTGCTGTTGCTTTTATTGTTGCTGTTGTTGATTGTGAAAGTATAGTATAATGCGGCTGCAATTCAGCTTCCGCCATTTGCTGTCCTTATTGCGTTTTCAGTTCTTTACCAATGCTATACGAAACTATTTTGGTCCAATCGATTTTAGTTCTTGTTATTGGCAATTGACGCCTCATTGCCTTAAACGTTGTATCGGACATTGTTTGATAATTTTCAGAAATTGCCAATTGATATTCATTTTCGGCTTCTTCAATAAGTCGTATAATCTCCTTGGCCATTTGTTGTTCATTAGTTACCGCAACAGATTCACGGCATTCTTTAGATGATACCAACTGAACATTACCATCTTCATAGTAATGGACCTAGCGAGTGAGGAGGGAAATTTAGATTAAAAATCTTTTTTGTTTATTAGAAATTTATTTGCTACTCACTTGCACTTTCAAAACACCGCGCAATTCGGCATTGCCTGTACCCGGTTGAAATGTAATACTCCATTGTGAACGCCATCTACCGTTCCAGTAATTTTTCGGCTGAAATTGATGATCTTCAATGCAAATTGTCAAGGTAATTTGACCGGCATGGGTTTTGCCGAATACTGAACACACCTGTAATATGGAAAACAAAGAAAGAATATATTTAGAAAAGAAAAATAGTATAATATAGTATATCAGATAGTCTTGAAAAAATATCCCTTAAAAATCCACGCCTCAGATAGCCTTGAAAACAAAACATTCTTTAAAAATCCACGCCTCAGATAGTCGCGAAAAAATCTCGCCTCAGATAGTCTTAAAAAAACACTCTTTAAAAATCCACGCCTAATATAGTCTTGAAAAAAGTATTATTTAAAAAACCACGCCTCAGATAGCCTTGAAAAAAAAAACATTCTTTAAAAATCCACTCCTCAGATAGTCGCGAAAAAATCTCGCCTCAGATAGTCTTAAAAAAACATTCTTTAAAAATCCACGCCTCTGATAGTCTTGAAAAAAGTATTATTTAAAAATCCACGCCTCTGATAGTCTTGAAAAAAGTATTATTTAAGAAACCACGCCTCAGATAGTCTTGAAAATAAAATACTTTAAAAATGAACGCCTTGATATACCTTAAAAAAATAATCTTTAAAAAATCACGCCTCAGATAGTTTTGAAAATAATATACTTTAAAAATGAACGCCTTGATATACCTTGAAAAAATATTCTTTAAAAAATCCACGCCTTGTTATACCTTGAAAAAATATTCTTAAAACATCCACGCCTATGATACGGATACTTATTTCAAAAATATTCTAAAATCCAATCCTATGATTCCGATAATCCTTTTAAAAACTATTCTAGAATCCTCTGGTCCTCCTTTCAAATATATTCTTTACAAATCGACACCTATGATGCTCATACTCCTATCAAAAATAGTCTTAAAAACCTCGCCTAACCTGGTAGTTAGTATTTTATTTCTAAATTATAAAAAAATATATTGAAAATCATGTTTAAAAAATTAATTATACATACACCATGTCTATAATGGCTGGCAGTGTATGCCAATGTTTCAATGTCTAATGCAGCTCTCCATGGCTCGGCTGGGGAGTCGGCTTCCAATTCCTGATAATCACTAGCCTCCTTTCTTAAGTGATCATATTTAAATGACTGTTTAGTGCGAGGATCATAAAAACGGCCACCACCTGAAATTAAACAAAAATGTTAGTTATTTCTTATATACATACATATATGTGTATATATACATATCTAATTTTTTATCAACAAAAAATTAAATAATCAGTGGATTCAAATCAATTGAGTCATAACAAAACAAAGCAGAAAAAACACCCCACACCACTGTGTGCAAAGATTTCTTTATACTACTTGTGTCCCGCATTTAATATCAAAACATTGATACTCATTCTCCCCAACCGCCACACCACTTCCCCCTACACAGTGAGTGATCACTTTCATTTTTTTTATTTATTGTTTCTAGCAAATAACAAAAAAAATAAAATAAAGAAACATACCCAAATCATTGTGTTCCGAAATGACTGCATTATGTTCACTGCCCTCTATGCGTACAGGTGTCAATTGATCTTTGTTGTATTGGGCAAAGGCGTGGCTAGCACCTTCTTTCAAGAGTGCATCATTTTTTAGCAATTCACGAACATCATTGAATACTTCATTGAATTCGCCCGGTGGTGCGTGTAAAATGAAATCCGATACAATACGTACTTTTTCGGCATCGCTTATTTGTGTTGGTTCCATCTTGCTGGTGCTGCTATTCACTCTTCCTGTCTTCTATTCTAAATATAATAACTTTCTATATTTACTTATTTGTACGTTTTATTGTATCTGTCCCTCCTGCTCTTCCTTGGTGGTGTTGGCCGTTTCTAGTATTTTTTGGTCTTTTTGGAATTACTCTTCTATAGTTATGTTGTCGTTGTTGTTGGTGGAAAAAGAAAAAGGTGCAACTTTTCTCTGGGCAACCGGGAAATTGTCGATACAATAAACAACCAACCACTTCAATATATTATGTAAATCCTCGCTCTCTCGATTACAGCGAATGGAGGTTTGAGTTATTTTTAGAATTCAATAAGATTTACACCAAAGTAACATAGGAATTTTGGGCTAAGTTCCAAATATTCTTTCTTTTTTCGTAAAAAAATTGCATTTACTGAGTGACTGATGACAAATCTCATAGGGTTGGCTAGATCGATTTTTGCCTTTTACCGATAAATTTGTAATCAATCACTGTGAGTTGCTTTCTCTTCTTCTTCTATTCTATTTTTTATTTTGATGGCCGCTATACGTTCTACGTCAACGATATAGTTTTTTTTAATAAATTGAATTTATTAAATTAGATGAGTAGACAGACGAGGGGGTAAAATTATTCTTAGTAAGAATTTGCCCTTGATATTAGAATGCTGTGTTGCTTATGGTTTTTTACGCCGTTATGTGTTGTAATGGTGTAACTTTAACATCAACGCATATTAAGGGTTACTTAGTTTAAATGATTTTTAGCAGGGACATTTTTTAGAAACCATATTTAGCCATGCTACAATTATTCAAGGTAGGCCACAGCAACTTATAAATTCATTTTTTTCATATTGTGGCTTGTTATTCCAAAGTTGTATACAAAATGTTTGACTGTGTGTGTGTAATGTTTTGAAAAATATAAAAAAATATATTCGAAAATCGAAAAATATATTTAGTTTGTAATTTTATAATTTTATAAGATACTTTATTATACGCCTTCTATCAATTTGTAACCCAATGAGGAGTTTTTGTTGATTAATAAATTGAATTGAAATCGAATTGTTTGAAGATGAATTGTAAACCATTTGTAAGAAGAAATGTATGATTTATTAATGAAACAACATGTAAATCTCGATTTTGAAAATAAAACCTTACATCCATTCATTTTTCGCGATTTTGGTGAAGTGTTAAAAATATGTCAAATGAGCTCTGTTCAAATGACTTGCTGCATTAGTATACTTTTTCCTTTCTGACAAAAGCTACCCTTCCCATGGTACAATTATACAAGGTAGGGTAGCTTTTGTCAGAAAGGAGAAAATACAATAACATTAAACATACGACAACAAACTTAATCGTTTGAAAACGAGAACCAAAAAATACAGGACTTGTTAAATTGACCTTGGTTCAAATCAAATATCATTTGTTTCCTTTGTTAGATTCCAGTACAATCAGTTCATTATTCGATTGCTTTAAGTAACATTATCCACTAATGGTGTTTTTACACGATATGTATTTTACATATGTGCTGTCACTTATTTCATCCATATGTAATTCCTTATGTGTGTCAAAATTAGCAGCGTACACAAAACTTTTATTTTTGTGTTCAAATCGGCATATGTATTTTACATATGACATAACCTATAAACAAAAAAACATTTTTATTTTTTCTTAAATCAACATCATTTTTGTTATTAAACACCTATAAACAAAATATTTATTTGTAATTGTTGCCTTTTCATCCTTTTCTTTGACTTGCAATTGAAATATTTTCTTCCAACAATGTGTTTCATTCAAACAGCTGATTTCCTTATGTTTCACATACGAAAATAGAGCGCGTCCTATTCGGAAAAAATACATATGTAATTGCATATCGTTTTGACACATTGAAATTTCCGTATGTTTCACATGACGAGTTCGATTTCCATATGCAAAAAAGTGACAGCACATATGTAAAATACATATCGTGTAAAAACACCATAAGGGTTAGTAAATTCTCTCAACTACAACCTTGTATAGGTTATACTAATCATGATTATCTGATTTCTAAAAAAAACACTTCTAAATATCCTTTAAGTTAAACACCCCTTAATTTGGGTTGATGTTGATGTACACCAGTACAACAAATTAGCGGCGTTAAAAAAATCTTATGCAACACAGATGTCTCTTATGTCTAACTCAAATTCTAACTAAACAAGAATAATTCTAATAATTCGACCCTCTCTTCTGCCAACGCTCTTAATTTTTATTAATTATTAATTAAATTGTTGCCGTGGAAGGTATTGTGGCTATCAAAATAATATAAAAAATCAAAAAAAAAAATGGAATAGAGGAGAAAACAACTCACAGTGATTGATTACAAATTTATCGGTAAAAGGCAAAAATCGATCTAGCCAACCCTATGAGATTTGTCATCAAAGACATAAAAGTACGATTGTTGTCTTTGTTGTCATCAGTCACTCAGTAAATGCATTTTTTTTACGAAAAAAGAAAGAATATTTGGACCTTAGCCCTAAATTCCTGTGTTACTTTCTAAAAATAACTCAAACCTCCATTTGCTGCAATTAAATAGCTTAAGTTGAGTTTAGGGGCTCATCTACGAAACCCCACAGGTTGATCTCGTCTCCCTGATCACGAAAATATATGACATTTATGGTGGAAATCCATATTTCCCGAGATATGGGCCTCTGAAGTTCTGGAATTCATATTGTTATATATTTATTTAAAATTTGGATCGCGTTCATAAGAAAGAGTCATAAATCCGACGGTCGAAGGCCGGCTATATATATATATATATATTAGTGATCAGGAGACTTATCTGTAACAAAAATTTCAAAAAAAAAAAAAATCCAAAATGCCTATGTTACTTTGGAGTAAGTCTTATTGAATTATACTTTTAACGCCCACTCAATTAATAAAATTTACATCTCTTATGTCGAATTTTCATTTTAAACAGACAAAAGAGATTTATTTAAAAAATATATATATAATGGTAAGCATGCACAGATCAACTGCAAAGAAGGAAACACCCATCTAGCAAATTACATTTTCTCATAGGTTTCTGTAAAATTACACGTTAAGCATGTGTGCGTATATGTATCCTCCTCCTCATTGTAAGTATCTTCACCGTATTCATGGACATGAGCTGCTTTAGTTTCCTTCGTGTACAAACTGCTACGAACTTCCATTCGCAACTGTTTCATTTGTTTATTGTATTTACGTATTTTACCAACCTCTCGCTTTTCAACACGATTTTCATGCTGTTTCATTAGCTCCTCTTCACTTCCCCAAACTTCAAGGGCCCGCTTTTGGACTTGTGAATGTAAATATAGTTTCATTTCACCCCAACGGATGTTATGCGGATTTTTTCGACTAATATAACGTAACGGTGGATCACGTTTATCAAAATCACAATCTTTTAGTAGATATTCAGCTTTTGCTTCAGTTCTTGTTATTAGACAGTGTTCACCGTCCGGATCGCGACATTTATCGCAAACGGAATGACTGAAATTGTTCATTAGAAATGAATCGGCAAACATTTCACCGCATTCCAAACATTCATCATATTTTACGGGTATATGGATGGCATCGTCCACTAGGTTAGGTATATCTGTGGATCCCGGCGCACCACCAGCATTTGCCTGAGGAACTTGGGTTCCCATTGTCGTTGTTGCTGGTTGTTCAATTAAAAAACCGCCGCCACTATCGACATATTTTGTTCCTTGTACTTTGATGACAGATTTATTGCTTTCAACGGTGTTGACATCCCTAAAAGGGCGAAAGAGGACAATGAATTAAATTTTCAAAAAATTTAATAAAATCAGTTGAAGTTGGATATTAGCAATCGATGGAACAAATCTTCAATTACAACCATTATCATAACACGGATACTTTTACCCGTACTCCCTGAAAAAAATAATTTCACAACGATCGCGTATACCCAACTCGTACTGTACTACACAAAAAAAGTTGCGGTACTTACTTCCTTGCCATGGCATAGGGATGGCTTACTAATTTGGCTTGTCGTAAACTCAAAGCTTTTGCGCGATTTCTTTCAATACGCGCTTTTTGAGCCTCAGTTAGAGGTTTCTCGGATGTTTCGGTTTCAGACATTTTTTTATTAATAATAATTGTTTTTTGTGCAAAAAGTAACTGTTTTTCTTTGCTTTCGGTGAGTTCTCCTTTTCGGTATAAACAAGAAGGAAGAAATTTTTAAAAACGTTCCACCTGGAGGAGAAGCCAAAATGGCCGATAAAAAAAGAACTCAAAGGTGAAAACGGAATATTTACGAATAAGGCGGGAAGGAGAACCATATACCAACACATATACACTCGCAGGTCACTCTTCTTCTTGTTGATATTGCGGTGCATTCACGAAGAAGTGATAACATTTGGTGTGGTTAGACCTACACAACACTAATAGTTGCATTAAGTGTGGTACACCATAGCAAAGATATCTGATGCTAATAGATGTTTACTTAGGACAAAAATGAATGGACATTTCTATGGTACAAAAATACAAGGTTGGACAACTTGAGGTGAATAACAAAAAGCGACTATGCACGTGTGGCTTCTTCTGCCAAAAATAAAATAAATATACGCAACAAGTGTTTGTGTTTATTTGAAATTTTTTCAACACAAAACTAAAAACGCTAAAATAAATGAAAGGTTATGATTTCTTCCCAAAATCCAGTAGGGAATCATCCATAACAAAGTTATTACTTCCAGACGAACGTGCTATAAACATAATTTTCATACTATTAAATTTGAATATATTTCAATTTATTTCGAATTTATTTGACATAGTATACAAAACAATACACACACATACACAAAATATATATTTTGGTTTTATGGAACAAGCCACCTTGAGAAAAAATTGTAATCAGTTGGTAGCTGGGCCCTACCTTGTAATAATTATACCATGCCCACCATAAGATCTAGTGTATATTAAAATTGTCATTTCGTCGAAATATTTATTGGCCCTAAAGGCCGGATGTTTATAAAGTATATTCATTCTTGATCAGAATAAAATTCTATGTCGATTTAAGCCTACCCGTCTGTCCGCTGAAATCACGATAGCAATCGCAATATTCAAGATAGAGGTCTGAAATTTGGCATAGGCCTTGCTAATACACCTAGGATGTTGGTCTTTTAGGAATTTGGGGCACTTTTTTCTACCAAATTGTCTGTTATTTCGAATGGACTCTAAAACGGCATATACATTAGAACTTTTTACCGGGTTAACCTACTTTATGAGGATTTATTTGACATATATGCAAAGGAATTGACAATTGAAACCCACTGGGTTAACGAAATCCGGTTAAATGTAAACGTACTATAATTGTATAACACATTCGCTATTTTTTTCGATTTTCTACACTTTTTTGCAAACGAAATTGGTTGTAATTTGGGTTCTTATTGCATAACTCATACCCGTACTAAAAATGAATAATATTAAGTGAAGTTTCAACGTAGCTGGTATTTTTGGAATTTTTAACACATTTTCAACAAATTGACTATCTTTGTTACCAAAAATTATTAATACTGATTTGTAGAGCCCGATATATCGGTAGGTCCATTTTTCGGTATTTCGAGAATATAAAACATCTTGTGTCCTTTTCGATATATTCATGGTCCTATCCTAACATGAGATTTTTGCGGGAAGCCCCCATTAAATTTTGATAGATTGAATGTCTAATTTAATTACTTTAATTCAGTACATCCAAACCTGCGTCTGCAAGCAACAGGACAGTCGAAGACAATTGAGTCAATTGAGTTCATGCATTACAACGTTACCTATAATCCGACGGGGCGTACAGAAAAATTCAACTTCCCCACTATGGCAAGATGTTGTGTATGGCCGTATTACCCAGATACGTCGAATTCATATCTCAAAACGAGTAATACAAACCGCAAAATAAAATTTAAAATTTATTAAATTAATCCAAATATTTTAAGTTTCCATTCGAAATTTCGTATTTCCTCAATGTTTTGAGGAATGTTTTGTACTTATATCCGATATCTACTGTACATAAATACGCTGCCAAACTAAAAAATATATTTTTTTTAAATTCATAGCACACGTGTTTTTCGTGAGAATTTAAAGAAACCGCCATATATGTGAACCCCTCTAATATATTTAGGGTTTCTCGAACAGGTTCCTAAAAAAACTATTGTGGCCACCACCTACATTTGTTTTTCTTATTGTCTAATAGAAATACAACAACAAGAAAAGAAAATAAGAAAATTCATATTCATTATATTTGTATACAAAAACGTGCATTCATTTATATAACGTTTGGGTATATAACGTTATGTACAGCACCCCGGTTCCTGTTTGAATGCATTTTTTCTTATAATACGTCGCCGTCGTCCTCTCTGCATCTGTTCAACACATGCCAGCTAGCCCTCTGCTTTATTTCAGCCCAAACACAAAACTCAACTGCTGTTGACTGGCCACCCCTGTTTTTGTTTTCTAATGAGGTTGGTCGTTCGTTCGTGCGGTTGCTTGTATCTTCATGCTGCTTTTTTTAATGCGATGTGTTGTTTTTCTGTGTATACGTCGCATGTGCGCGCTTGTATTTTTTCGCTGCATGTGTATGTGTCTCTCCGGACACACAACAACAATTGGCCAGACGTCAACTGTAGCCGAACGTTAAAGCTACATAAAATTAAACACGACGGCCGACAACCACTTCGTCTGCCAGTCCCAATTCAGTTGCGTTCAGTCCACGTCGGCGTTTACGTCTTCGTTCGGTAAATGGTGTTGTGCTCGTTCTCGTCCACATCGTATCAACGACAGTGTAGAGTAGAAAAATAGAGAAATTGCCGTTTTTTCTTCTGCGGTACAGCAAAAACTGTGTTTTTTACAATTGGATTTCTTCTTCGACAAAAAAGAAAAACAAATTTTGTGGTTCAAAATAGCGAAATGCTGTGTGCAGTGCAGTAGCAGTAGAAGAGTACCCATCATCACCTAATCATTTTTTGAGGAAGTCAAGAAAAAAAGAAAACAGCACATTGACGTTGTGGCGGATACCCCTACAGCGGATACACAGAGCAGGCAGGCATTCAGTACCGAGTACAGCTAGCTAACTTTTTTTTGCTGCCTCTTCTACTTGATAGGAGAACAATTTAGGCGCTTAACTTTGCGCTGCATCGCCAACAACAACAACAATTTGGAAAACAAAAAAAAAAAGCAGCAGTGCCACTACTCATCATCATTCTTATCAGAAGAAGAAAGGCAGAACAAAATAAAACAAAACCTAAACAAGAAAAAACAATTGCAAGGAATCAAAAAAACAAAGGGGAGCCTGACTGAGCACACAATTATAACGACGACGACAACGTCTATCATCATCCCCATCACAATTCATCGCCACTCAACAACAATATGGATGCCAAAATTGATCCAGCCTTGGAACAGCAGTTCGACTTGAACCTTATCGAAGCTGTCAAAATGAATCCGGTCATTTATGATCGCTCACATTTCAATTATAAACATTTTGTGCGTAAGGCCCAAACATGGAAACAGATAGCCGAGTCGTTGGGAGTTCCAGGTGAGAGAGGAATAAATCCAAAATTTTCTTTGAATTTTTTTTTAAGTTTCTTTCATTTAAATTTGTGGATTTCTGAATAGCTAACCCACATACATTTTATAAACTCACACACACACAAATCAACATTTATTTTTTAATATCCATCTGTGTGTGGTGGATTAAGGTTTCTTTTTTTAATTTTTTTTATCGTGTTATTACTTGTTCTGTAATACATTCATACACATTATGTATATGTACATGTTTTTTTAATTAACAATTTTGTATCTACAACATCGGGATGGCAGGGAATTTGTCGAACATACTTGAAACTATCATGACATCCGAACACACACACACCTCTTTTCCTCTTCCTCCTTTGTTAGTTATAAATCAGACAGATTAAACCCTATAATTTAACTTTTTTCTAATGAAATATTTTTTTCAAATACGATTTCATCCGCCGTTTTTAAAGGCAGTGATGATGGCTTTCAGTCAAAATCTAAACCAACCTATTCATACTAAGTTGCAAACAAACTACCCGTTTGTGTTCCTCACAGCAAAATCGAGTTTCATTTTCAAAGTTGCCATTTTGCTCCGAATGAAATAAAATAACATTTAAATTTTTGTCCAAGGTTTGGCACATTTGGGGCTATTATATTTTCATGTTAATAATTTATGATCATATTTATGTTAAACGGTATTAGAAATCGTTAACATATACCCAATGGAAGATTGGCAATTTAAACCCACTGGATTTACTGAACCCTGTACAAAATTAATGTGCTATTGTAGTACGTTTACATTTAACCGCATTTCGTTAATCCAGTGGGTTTCAATTGTCAATTCCTTTGCATATATATCAAATAAATCCTCATAAAGTAGGTTAACCCGGTAAAAAGTTCTAATGTATATGCCGTTTTGGGCACATTAATATTATATTGTACTGCATTTCTTTAACCGCGTAGGTTTAAACTGCTAATTTCATTGCATATATTAAATAAATACTCCTTGACAACAGTCCAGTAAAAAGTTCTAATGTACATTCCCAATTCGTAAACGGCATTTACATTAGATATTTTTACCGGATTAACCTCCTTTATGATGATTTATTTGACATATGTTTAAAGAAATTGACAATTTAAATGGGTTAACGAAAACCAGTACACTGTAAACGTACTATTGCTAGCTGACAATTACCACTGCAAGCCAAAATGCATATTGTAATTTAGAATTAAGAGAAATCCGTTTCAATTTGAAATGTTGGCAACACTGTTCATTTTTTTCTGCACTGCTTTGATTGTTTCCCTTTGTGTTGTAATATCATATCACTACACACAACACAGACAGCAATGACTTGTTTTTAGGTTATTTAAGGCGACAGAGAAACGGCGGGGAAGAGCACATTTTGTAGCCGTGGCAGCAGAGAAGAGAGGAGGGTAGACAAGCAAGCCAGCCGAGAGACAGACAGCTGGCGGCAGAAATACAAAACGACAAAGTCGCGCTGTGTGTGTATACTACAGCATGTCGCTTCTGCCAGTTATTTTTGTATACATTACCGTGTGTGTATGTGCGGATGTGTGTTCGTTCATGTACATCTGTCGCTTTCATTTTTACAGTGCCAGCAACCACCATTACGAGAGCTGCCTGGTTGGCTTTGCTTTGCTGCTAACCACCATGTTGTCGCCTTGTGTGCGCGTTGTTGTGTAGTAAGTCGCCAGCCAACTCGTTGTGTGATGCTCGTTCGTCGTCTCTGTTTTTTTCTGTTCGTGTGTCCATCAACGTTGTTTTTTAGCGCAGCTGTACTTTTTCCGTTGCTGTCTGGTAGTTTTTTTTGTTTGCCTTGGTTGACGTTATCGTAGTCGTCGTTCGTGTCAAATACTCACTCTTCTTCAACTCTTTCCATAACGTCATTTGGCATTGTTTACAATGTATTGTTGGCATCGAAATAGTGGGAGAGTGGGTAGCACATTTTTACACGTGCCTCTTTGGAAGAAATACAGGAAAATGTTCTGCCTTCTGCCATTTACTACCAATGTATGAATAAATGAATGCATCAGAGAGCTCCTCTGGAAATGTATTTAGTTTTGTTTTCTGTAGACAAGGATGCAGCGCAGCTAAACACATTATTTTGTTTTTAGTTCTCTTCTTATCATGTGCAGCGCCTGAACGCAACGCACGGTGTGGGGGCAGCAGCAACTAAAAAGAACATCGATGTTCTTGTCATCATCATGACGCAGAATGCTCAGCTCTAAATGTCATGTTTCTTTTTTGTTTTCCATTTAGAAATTTTGTTAGGAAAGGTCGGAAATTATACAATATTGTAGCGGATGAATGAGAAGAAAATAAATATTAGTCGTCATGCGTTTTATTTATTATTTGGCGGGAAATTTTCATTGGTTCAATTTTTTTTTCAAATAATAATAATTGTTATGTATTGATTATTAATAGGCGGGATTTGTTTACACACAATTACCAGGGATGGATGTTTTGAATTAAAAAAAAAATAATAAGGAACTTTGTACAGCATTATAGGAATGGGATATCCGGATTGATCCAAACTTCGCAAAACTCTGTTTTTTTACAAAATCAAGTCCAAATAATAGCGACGTACTCCTTCGGGTACCTTCTACATTTTTATAAAAACGTCGTAAGTTCGGCCGGTCCGAACATTTTATACAGTCCACCTTGAGGACATTTAAAATACCAGTAATATTTAGGAACCTTTAAAAATGGTTGGCTATATCATAGTAAATTTCTATACAAAAAAAAAATCCGAAATACCGGAAAATGGGGGTACCATTATATGGGGACTTTTCCGATATATCGATATTTTTTGCTAGGTACATTTTCTACCCAATGGGAACTCAAAATACTAAATTATAGCCAAGTTAGTTAAAGAAGGCTTGCCCAAACGGGAGCTATGTATTATAAAAGTGGACCGATATCGACAATTTTTAGCAGGGAGATTTGCTACCCAATCAGAACTTAAAGATCCAAAATAAGGCTGTCAAAATGAATCGGGTCATTTATGATCGTTCACATTTCAATTACAGTATTTTTCGGTTAATTGAACCTACGGTTTATTGGTTTCCACGCTTAATTGATGGGGCAACAAATATTTCATAGGAAAATACATGTAAATTTTCTCGGATAATTAAACCTTTTTAATTGATTTTCCCGCTTAATTGGTTCAAAATTCATGTCATCAAAAATTAATTTCCTTTTACTTTTCACCGGTTAATTGCATAATAATAATTGAAAAATAATCTGTCATTATTTACATAGATATTTGACATAATTTGTGAAAAAGACTAGGTGGCATATCTACTAATTCAAAACATATGTTTATTGCTAAGGAAAAACTGCGAGAAAGCGTAATTTGTATTTGACATTGGATTTTTTTTAAATCATTAGCAGTTCCAATTATTCGTGATGACTGTAATTGAACAAACTATTCAATTAAGCGGGTTCGGATAATTGGACAAACATTTGTGCAAATTTTGATGTGCAATTAACCGAAAAATACTGTATATATAAACATTTTGTGCGTAAGGCCCAAACATGGAAACAAATAGCCGAGTCGTTGGGAGCTCCAGGAGAGAGGGATAAAACAAAAATGTTCTTTGATTTTTTATATATAAGTTCTTATTAGTAGGTGTAAATCACCACACGTTTCATGAAAATTTGTTTTCTGAATATATATAGATACCCAATCAGAACATAAAGATTCAAAAAAAAAACCAATTCGATTGAAAACCGTACTAAATATCTCCGAATATTTGGGATGTACCATTATATTTGTGCTATACCCAAAACATGAACCGGTACATATCCCATTTTCAATACCAATTATTCTAGGATTAGTAACAATGTTTGTGACAAATTTCAATGCTCTATATAATAAATATTGCGAACTATATTGCGATTTCTCCTTACAGCTAGCTACAACAAGCATTTTCTAAATTTTATGTTTACACTTCCATTTCCAGAACAAAAATGTACAAAACGTTGGAAAAGTTTACGTGATAAATTTGCGCGGGAACTGAAAATCAGTCAAGATTCGAGATGGCGTTATTTCAAACAGATGTCATTTCTAATGGAATCGATACGTCAGTATCGTGAATCATTGCTGGGCAAGGTGTCGTCAGCTGGTATACCCGCAAATACAACAAATACCGTAACAGCACAGGTGGAGGCACCCCAACAAACCCATCAACATCAACAATCGCAGCAACAAGTGGTTGATTTGTTTACAACACCGTTTAATGGCAGTGCCACAATAACAACACAATCACTGACAGGACATCCACATGGTAAGTGTCTAATTTTGTATAGTTTTGTATCGAGTCGAAATATTAAACCATTCTCCTCTCCCTTACTCTTCTACTTTTACAGCCATCTTGGTTACGGGCGATGCTGCACAATTGGCTGCTGCCAACAATGCCGTTAAAGACCAAAAGACCTACTATTATGAGCCTGTTATGAAACGTGAACGTATCGTTGAAGATGATCAGCAGCAACAACAGCAGCAGCAGCAACAACAACAGGCGGCAGCGCAGCAACAACAACAGCACCACTCCGATATGCTCAGCTCCATAAAAATATTCCAAAACAGCATTAGCCAAAATGTTAGCGCCGAAGACCAATCGTTCGGTGTGGTTGTCACCGATATGTTGAATACGCTGGGCGTACGGCAAAAGGCCGAGGCGAAAGTTCACATAATAAAATATCTCACCGATATGCAATTGCTGGCTCAACACAACAAATACTGAGATACGGTTATAACATTAACAGATAAAACATGCACAACTATGTTCTCATTCGTTCCACACCATCACTCCACCGCCACCGAGAAGGTTGTCGTCACAGATGCCACAAATGGTGGTGCCGATGTGCTAAGAGAGGAGATTGAAAATTCCGATGACTAACTTGAGGGCAGAACGAACGAACGTACGTTGTTGGTGGCATGCCACACACATAGAGAGAAACAAACCAACCAACCCAATCAAACAATAGTTGTAAACCCTAGTCCGATAATCTTTAAAAGATGTTTGAGACTAGAAAAACGGGGTCGTACAGCTATTGCAACATTTTTTGTTGATGTGCGTCGGTGTGATATATACATATTATTATGTAGTTTTTTCTTTAATTTTGCATTTGAAAAAGGCAACTAACTATACGTAATGTTAAAATACAGATAATTATAATAGAAAGGTACTGCCATATACATAAAAATAGATTATAATTCAGATTATATGTACTGTGTTGTATTCACAAAGCAATACTAAACAACAACAATCATTATGTAAATATTTTTTTTTTATAACAAAACAAAAACTTTTACTTTTAAGATTTCCTAAATACTGTGTATCTTTATTATTAGACGTTAAGTAATTTAATCGTACACAACACAAATACATACATGATAAATATGTAGACAAAGAATGTTTTTTTGTTATAAAAAAAGGTAGACAGAAAAAATCTGACTTTGAAAAAAAGGGTTTAAAAAATCAACATCCTTTAAAAACATTTGTTTAAAGAACCCTGGCCTTTGATGATAAAAAACCAACCCTATAGGTCTGCTGGGAGTTAAAAATTATTTAAAAAACCACGCCTATATGTCTATTAGGAGTTAAAAAATATTTAAATATTTATTTAGAGAGGTCTGTTTTGGAGTTGAAAAATTATTAAAAAAATCCACGCCGAGAGTTCTGTTTTGGAGTTGAAAAAATTGTTAAAAAAAATTTACGCCGAGAGGTCTGTTTTGGAGTTGAAAAAATTATTAAAAAAAAATTACGCCGAGAGGTCTGTTTTGGAGTTGAAAAAATTATTAAAAAAAATTTACGCCGAGAGGTCTGTTTTGGAGTTGAAAAAATATTTAAAAAATCCACGCCTAGAGGTCTGTTGGCAGTTGAAAAAAAATATTTAAAAAATCCACGCCTAGAGGTCTGTTGGCAGTTGAAAAAAATATTTAAAAAATCCACGCCTAGAGGTATGTTTTGGAGTTGAAAAAATTATTTAAAAAATCCACGCCTAGAGGTCTGTTTTGTAGTTGAAAAAATTATTTAAAAAATCCACGCCTAGAGGTATGTTTTGGAGTTGAAAAAATTATTATTTTAAAAATCCACGCCTAGAGGTCTGTTTTGAAGCTGAAAAAATTATTTAAAAAATCCACGCCTAGAGGTCTGTTTTGTAGTTGAAAAAATTATTTAAAAAATCCACGCCTAGAGGTATGTTTTGGAGTTGAAAAAATTATTATTTTAAAAATCCACGCCTAAAGGTCTGTTTTGAAGCTGAAAAAATTATTTAAAAAATCCACGCCTAGAGGTCTGTTTTGTAGTTGAAAAAATTATTTAAAAAATCCACGCCTAGAGGTCTGTTGGCAGTTGAAAAAAATATTTAAAAAATCCACGCCTAGAGGTATGTTTTGGAGTTGAAAAAATTATTTAAAAAATCCACGCCTAGAGGTCTGTTTTGTAGTTGAAAAAATTATTTAAAAAATCCACGCCTAGAGGTCTGTTTTGGAGTTGAAAAAATATTTAAAAAATCCACGCCTAGAGGTCTGTTGGCAGTTGAAAAAATATTTAAAAAAACCACGCTAGAGGTCAGTTTTGGAGTTGAAAAAATTATTTAAAAAACCACGCCTAGAGGTCTGTTTTGGAGTTGAAAAAATTATTTAAAAAACCACGCCTAGAGGTCTGTTTTGGAGTTGAAAAAATTATTTAAAAAATCCACGCCTAGAGGTCTGTTGTGAGTGGAAAAAAATATTTAAAAAATCCACGCCTAGAGGTCTGTTGTGAGTGGAAAAAAATATTTAAAAAATCCACGCCTAGAAGTCTGCTATTTGGTCGTTAAATTACCGAATATTTTCGTTACTTAACGAAATTATTAGCAAATGAAAATGTGCAGTTATCGACAATTTTGTCGTTAAGCAGTTGCAGAAAAGCACTACAGGCGTGGATTATTTGAAGATTAGTTTCAAATGAATACGATTTATAAATAGAATTATTTTTAAAAAATGTTGTGACGCCATCTACCGACATTTTATATGCATTTAACATTTTATATATTGGTTTATGTCTGTGCATGTTATTAATCAGCCTCTTTTCTAAGCAACCATGTTCTTTAGTGTGTACCCTATTTTAATGATTGTAATCGATTAGTCAAAAATCGATATATATATCCCTATTACACTGCACGTGTAGTTGGGCAATCTAGTTCACGTAGCGGATCGATCATTCTCGTTTCTTTTTTAAAAAGGAACTAGTTCCTTAATGTAGTTCCTTTGAACTATGTAATTACTTCATAATTAAGATCGAACCACGAATGAGAGAGGGAACAACGCTCGTCTGTACATTCTGTACATGGCATTAGACTTTTCAATACAAAAAGTCGATTAATCGAAAGTCGATTTACTTATCCCTAATCGGGATATAACCTTTCGGTTATACCATTTTGAGTTCATCTTTATCGGCCATTTTGTCTTCTCCTCCCATTCGTTAGCAGGTGGAACGTTTTTCAATTTTTTTCAGTGTCGTTTTTATTTTAGCTCCGTTCCAAAACCTAAAAGAATCTACTAATTTTACAAGTTTTGCAACTTTTTACTTTTTACTCGAAAACCGTTCCTGAACCCATAAAACTGGTAAAGCATTGAATCAAATTTAATAGAGCACAAAACATTTGGTACCCAATATGAACCCACTGTACCAAATTTCAGCGAATTCGGTTGAAAATCGCGCTTAAGAACCTCAAAATACCGAAAATTTGGGGTGCCCTTATATGGGGAATATCCGAAAAAATTGACCTATATTTAAATTTGTTTGTGGAGAGATTTGGTACCTGCTAAGAACTCAAAATACTAAATTACAGCCAATTCGGTGAAAAATACGATAAAAACCCAAAAAATACTGAAAATTAGGAGGTACCGTTATATGGGGGCTACAAGAAAAAGTGGACCTATATTTATAATTTTTTGTGGATACATTTACTACAAATTCGCTTGAAAAACGCGCACAAGAACCCCAAAATACCGAAAATTGGGGGGTACCATTATATGGGAGCTATGCCTAAACGTGGACCGATATATCCCATCTTCGAACTTGACCTGCCTGCAAACAAAAGACAACCCTATGCAAAATTTCAGCACCCTATCTCAATTCCTTCAGAAGATAGCGTGATTACAACAGACGGACGGACATGGCTAGATCGTCTTAGAATTTTACCCTGATCAAGAATATATATACTTTATAGGGTCGGAAATGAATATTTCGATGAGTTACAAACGGAATGACAAAATTAATATACCCTCCATACTATGGTGGAGGGTATAAAAAGTACCGGAACAGACCATTTGTTGGCGAAGGTTTGCGTACGACGTCGCTTGAGTCTTGGCAGAACGACGATTAACAAGCGAATTTTATGAAGGCTGGAGTCTTGGAGGCTTCCCACTGTTCTTTTGAATCTCTCTCTCTCTCTCTTTTATTATTTTTTTTTCGTTTTTCCATATATAGTTCCTTTGCTCCATATAGTTCCTTTGCTCTTTATAGTTCCTATGCTCCAAATAGTTCCTTTGCTCCATATAGTTCCTTTGCTCTTTATAGTTCCTTTGCTCCATACAGTTCCTTTGCTTCAAATAGTTCAAAAAAGGAACTGGATCAGAGAAAGGAATTATATTAATTAAAGAACTGGAACTAGTTCCGTTCGTTCCTTTCTCGGAATAGTTCCAATGAACTAGTTCGTTCCGGAACTACCTAACTCTACACTGCACGTGTGAGTGTGTTTATACTACTGAGTGGCTCCCAAAGAAAAGTCTGAAAAAACGTTGGAAGAAATTAAAACCCTTTAAACAATGGAATTAACGGAGGACAATTCTCCAAATGTATCTGAGAATGAGGCTGGTGGTGGTGACCATGAAACCGCTGAGCAAAAGGCACGAAAACGCCGTAATCCATTTAAAATACAAAAGGATAAGGAGGAAAAGGAACGTCGCCAAAAGAAACGTGCTCGTCTAATTGTCCGTAATATGAGCTATAAAGCGAAGGAGGAAGATCTACGCAAGCATTTCGAACAATGGGGCAAACTGGAAGAAGTGAATATTCCCAAGAGGGCGGATGGCAAGTTGGTCGGTTGTGCTTTTGTTCAATATCAGACCATTAATCAGGCGACCAAAGCAATATTGAAGGGCAATGGCAAGGAGTTTTTGGGCCGGGTTATATATATTGATTGGGCTCTGGGTAAGGATGAATATCTGGCCAAGAAACAACAAAATGTCAAGGAAGAACCCGAGGACAAGAAACCTAAATTGGAAATTAAAGAAGAGGAGGAGGATGATGATGAAGATGGTGATGGTGATGATGACGACAGTAATGAAGAGGATGATGAAGACAGTGGTGTAGATGGAAATGAGGATGGCGGGGAGGTAGGTTGTATTGGTTATTAAAATAAACAAAGAAAACTAAGTAAACTTTGGCATTCTAGGATGAATCTGGGGAAGATGATGACGATGAAGACGAAAATGAGGATGAAGAGAATGAAAATGACGACGACGATGATGATGATGAAGACAAAAAAGACATCAAATCAAAACTTAATATCGACAAAGTAAACAAAGAGAAACGTATATCGAATGATGTCCAAGAAGGCTGTACGGTTTTCATTAAAAATGTTCCCTTCGATGCTGAAGATCAAGATTTACGTAAAGTTTGTCGTAAATTTGGCCCAGTTTGGTATGCCATTATCAATAGGGAACCTGTATCGGGTCATTCTAAAGGAACGGCTTTTGTGAAATTTAAAACCAAGGAATCGGCCGACATGTGTCTGCAATCAGCAGCAGAATTTGTTCTGATGGATCAGGTTTTGGAACCATATCCGGCTTTGAGTCGTGAAGAAATACGCCAACAAAATTTAGAAAAAGATAAGAAAAATGATGGCAAGGATTCCCGAAATCTATATTTGGCGAGAGAGGGTCTCATTATGGCTAACTCCAAGGCGGCTGAGGGGGTCTCAGCTTCGGATATGAACAAACGGCATAAGCTGGAACAGATTAAGGCGCAAGTGCTGAAAAATCTCAATAGGTATGTAATGATTTCAGAATAGCAATAATTATCAATTGAAAATTCTAATTGTTTTGCACAATTCCTTTAGATTTGTATCTCGCAATCGTTTGTCCATTCACAACTTGCCGTTGAACTATGACAATGACAATTTGAGAGATATGATTATTGCCTACACTGGGTTCCATCCTCATGAATGCAGGGTGATGCGTGAAAATAAAATAACACCAGATCATCCAAAGGGCAAATCCAAGGGATTTGGTTTTATGTCCTTCAACACACATTTAGAAGCTTTGACAGCCCTAAGGAAACTTAACAATAATCCAAAAGTCTTTGGTACCCAACATGTAAGATTTTGATTAAGAATCCATTGGTTCTTTTTTTGTTAACTTTTCTATTTTTCCAGCGCCCCATTGTTGCCTTCAGTATAGAAGATCGTGCCGTTCACAAGGTCAAGGAGAAACGCAAGGAAAGATCCAAACTCAATAATCCCACCTTCAAAGACAAATTAGAAAAACGTAAAGCCCTAAAGAATGACAAGAAATCCGGAAAGCAACCTTTGAAAACACTTCCCAAAGGACCACAAGATGATGACAAACAAAAACTAAAAGAGCACATTAAGAAATTGGAAGAATCACGGGCCAAAAAGAACAATAAACAAAATAATAAAAAACAGGAAGCTCCCGTAGCCGCCGAAGAGGAATTTGTTGGCACGGAAGCTAAAAAGGGTACCGTTTTGCGTATGCGTTCCTTTAAAAAACTAAAAGAACAATCTGCCGATCATATGCAACGCGTTAAACAGGAAAAGAAAAAGAAACGACAAGAGAAAATCAAACAAATCCATCTGGCCGAACGGAAAGCTGAAATTCGTCCCAAACAAGGGCGTAAAGTGGAAAAAGATGATTTGGCACCATTGGTAAATAAATACAAACAAATGCTGGAAAAGCAAGCCGATCCGAATGCAACAAATACTGCTAAAAAACCTAAACGTACCAAATGGTATACGGAATAAAACATATGATGATAGCAGTTATAAGTTGAAAAATGTTAGGCGTATTTTATTTAGGTGCATAATTTTTATTGTTTGTTTTGTAAATACAAATGAAATAAATATTAGGCTATATTTAATATGTAATAATGTAAGTTTTGTTTTAAATAAGGAATTCCATGTTGGACAAACTGCTGGAGGCAGTCTTTATGGATAAAAGCAATAGGGAGTCTTTATATGATGTGATTCTTTCATGGGAAATCTGCAGGAAAGGGAGTTTTTTTAAAAACAAGTTGAAAAGTTTTTGATAATCCATTAAAAATACAAAAATATAAGGAGGAAAAGGAACGTTGCCAGAAGAAACGTTCCCGTGTAATTGTTCGTAATATCAGGAAGATCTACGTAAGCATTTCGGACAGTGGGGCAAAGGTAATATTCTCAACATAGCTTTTTCTCAATATGATACCATTAATTAGGCGACCAAGGCGATATTGAAAGGTAAAGGCAAGGAGTTTTTTGGCCGGCCTATATTGATAGGGCTCTGGGTAAAGATCCTAGAAACAACAATACATTAAAGAAGAACCCGAGGCGAAGAAACCAAATTTGGAAATTAAAGAGGAGGACAAGTTGTAGAGATTTTTATTGATAGGCGAGCTGGAGGGGGTCTTAATATAAGAAACAAAGGAATTTGTAAATGACGAGCTGAAGGGGGTCTTCATAGACGAGTGGAAGGGAGTCTTTATATATACGAGCTGTAGGAATTCTTTCATAGGTGAGCTGAAGGGAGTCTTTATAGGCGAGCTGAAAGGAGTCTTTATAGACGAGTCTTTATGGACTGACGGGAGTTGTTGTAGACGTGTTGGCCTGTTGAATTAAAAAAATCTTAGTACACCGTTGTTGTTGGCCCTTAAAAAAATATTTTTAAAAATCCCAAAATTAAAATTAGTGTTTGATACACTCTTTTCTTAAAAATTTTTTTGTGATTTGGAAAATATTTGTAAAACAAAATCGAAGCCTTTAGATAGCGTTTGAAATATATATTTAAAAATAGAACATATTTTGTTGGTGTAAAAAACACTTTAAAGGATCCACGTCTATAATTAGAGCTTGACAGAAATATAAAAAAAACAACGTCAATTGTTGGCGATTAGAAAAACATATATTTAAAATAACTACACCCATAGTAAGGGTTTGAAAAAAACTAATATTTCTAAAAAAATTGACGTCCATTGTTGGTTTTCGAACAATATTTTATAAAAATGCAGACTATTTTTAAAAAATTAAGGCCTGAAATAAAAATATTTTTAAGAAGCCGAAGCCTACCGTTGGCCTTTGGATCAAAATTCAAAAATTCAGGCTTTTTTATGATGGAATTCCACGACTGGAATATTTAAAAAACTACATCTACTATTGGTATTTGAAAAAATTAAAAAAAAATCTATTCTTAGTTTTTTTAAGTTTATTTTTAAAAAATCCATGTCTATTTTTTGTACTTGAAAAATATATATTTTAATAGGTGGCTATTGTTGTTTAAAAATATATATTTTTAAATTAAATTTAAGAACATTAGATACGCAATGGCTGCCATTTTTATGACTACTCCATGTCCAATTTGCCTGATAATTCTAAGAACAAACAATTTAAAGTAATCACACACACAGGTACGTTATAAATCCTGAACAAAATTTCCATATGTTATGCATATTATTTACCTGAATAGGTTCTGATCTTTTCTTTTTTTTTTGGAAAAACTCTAAAATTGATTTGATGATTTAATTGGAATTGTATGGCTAGGTAAGGAAGCTATTTGTTTTTTCCTGGATTATAAAACAAAACCAAATGTACACATAATTTGTGTATAAATCATGGACAAATTGCAATAGGTTAGCATTACAGGACTGTGCTTAGCACGAGTAACATCAAAGATATTCCAGAAGAGTGTGTGATAAATTCATAGTTTTATTTAATAAATAAAAAAGATGGCACCTCAAGAAAAAGTTGAATTTGTTATACTTCGATTGACCTTTTTGCCCTATGTGTAAGTATATTTTAATAGTGAACATATTTAACAAAAATTCTAATATATCAATCCTTTTTTATAACAGACATCCCCAGTATCCTCGTATTACATTAACCCACAAACGGCATTCTCCCAGCAGTTCAATGACACAAGTTCGTGATTGGGTAAGTTTTATTAATATTTTTTAAACAAATATTAATTCTGAAAATATTTCCTATAAAAATATTAATTTTTGTTTTCTCCTTTTTAATTTCCAGTTCGACAGAATAATGTCACGAGAAAAATCCAAAGTTGATCCCCAGCTGAGTATACGCTATTGCGAATGGAATGTAACCTCGGGCAATGCCAGTTTATTTACCGTAAATGGTTATCGTTTTGATAAGATTCTCTTGGTATTGGGTGAGGATGTTGTCCATTGGATTTTTTATCAAAATATGCCACTGCATCGACGCATTGAGGGCTGTGGCCGGCTATCGGTTAACTATTGCGGCTGTTGCCTAAATACACAATATTTGAAAATTATGGAAACCGTTAAGGGCTGTGTAATGCAAAGGGGTACATATTACTGAGAGAGAGAGAGAGAGAGAGAGAACGAGCTAGCGAGCGATAAAAAGGACACTCACGTTAAACGTAAAAAAACTAGTGATAAGAAAATTATATGATTTAAAAAATACATATAAATATATTGGAATTTCAAACAAAATCGAAAATAGTATTTTAAATACGTTTTATTTTATTTTTCTTCTAAATCATTTAAATGTTTTAACATATTTTATTTATTTTTTGTTTTGTTTAATTACAAATAAGGATGCATTCACGTATTAATTAGTATTCTTTTATTCCAACCAATGGAAACGGGCACCATATTTGGCAGGAGCCTTGGGATAATCTTCTGGCAAGCCAGGTGTAGCATCTGGATAGATTTTCTTTTCTGGCTTGGGTGGTGCGGGACGATCAGTGGCATGAATCTGAAAAGCAAAAAATAATAAAAAACAAATTTCAAAAAATTAAGGACTATTTAAAAAATCTACACCTTAATAATCCAAGCATATGGATTGGTACTAGAAAACTTATTTTTACCCAAACCCCCCTCGCATATTTTTGGTACATGAAAAATATTAAAAAAAAGTAATCAAGTTCTATCTTGTAAAAAAATAAACGACTATTTAAAAAAAATCGACACCTTAAAAATCCAAGGATTGGTAAAATTTTTGTTACCTATATCCCCCTCGCATATTTTTGGTACTTGAAAATTATTTAAAAAGTAATCCAATACTATTTTGTGTATTTGAAAAATTATATTTAAAAAATCCACTCTATTTTCCAACTACTATTTTTGGTACTTGAAAAATATTTTTAAAAAATCCAAGACTATTTTTGGTAATTGAAAATATATATTTTTAAAAAATATACGACGGATCTAGTCTAGTTTAGGACCCCCTCGCGGAAATCGGTATTTCCGGAAATATGGGCCTCTAAAGTTTCGTTGGGGCCTTATATTTTCCACGGTTTTTAACATTTGTCACGGGTTTAAACAATATGGGTATCAATTTAAAGCGTTTAAAACCCTGATTACAAAAATATTTTTCAAATAAGTTCACACATTCTGAGCTATGGGTCTCCAAAATTCCGCGGGACCCTTATTTAATTTTGAAAAACCGTATAGGTGTTTATTGGGATTTACGACTTTCTCCTATGGACGGATGGCAACTACGGCTACGCGACCGAATCTTCTTTTTATTCGAAGTGTTGTGGGTTGCCGGCCTTCGGCTTTGGATTTAAGACATTCTCATATGGACAGGCGACAGCTCCGGTTACGCGATCGCATCTCCTTTTAATTTAAATATTGTTTTTGTAATCAGTACCTCAAACATTTTAAATTGATACACATATTGCCTCAATAAATGTTAAAAACCGTGAAAAATATAAGGGTCCTAAAAGAAATTTGGAGACCCATATCTCCGGAAATAACGATTTCCGCAAGAAAAAAGTACACTGTTGTAATTAGAACCCCAAGGACTACATGTGGTAAAAATTTCTAAACGATCCTCGAGGGGGCCCTAAACTATACTTAAGCCAAAAAATCTAGGTCTATTGCTACTGATTAAAAAAAATATTTTTTTTAAAAAAATTCTACCACTATTGTTACTGGTTAAAAATTGTTGTTGTTGCTAAAAAAAACCTACATCTAGAAAAAAATGATTTAAAAAAATAAGAATAAAATGCTTTAAAAATCGAAGCTACTTTTGGTTCTTAACAAAATATCCCTTAAAATTTACATTAAATTATTGTCATTCAAAACCGATATTCTTCCTTTAAAATTTCTTGGGAGCCCACGCCAATAATTTCTTTAAAAAAAAAACATAACTATTACTACAAAATAACATACCTTAGCTCTAGCGAAGTAGCCATATTCTGGACGATCCAAATCTAAATTGTCCTTCATACATTTATCGAAAACACCTTGTGTTTTGCGGCAGCTAAAACCAAGAAAAAGAAAACAAAAGATTAATACATTTTTTTCAATTTTTAAATTTACAATTATTCAAAACATACTGGCTAAATGACATAGTACCACTGGATTTGTCCAAACAAGTGGCATACTGCATGAATTCTTCGTGACAGCTCTTCTTGACTTTACGGAAGAAATCCAAAGCACAACTGGTAACAGCTTTTCCCTCATTCAAGCAGGCCCGGGGATCATCCAATTCCTGGCGGCACAGCATGAATTCCTTTAAACAAAAAACGAGAAAACATAAAAAACAAATTGTTTACAATTGCCGTTTGTGTTTTGTGTGTGTATTGAGGTTAGGTTGTTCGGAGACTCCAAAAATTATATAAATTATATAACCTTAAAGGGTCAATAATTATTGAAATATCCTTCCAAACCCATCACAACACCTTTCCAAAATGTTGTTACTCACATTATTTTGATGTTCACAGGCCTTACCCAAATGGAAAGCTCCGGCACGTAAGGCTGCCGTGGATAGATTCACCTCGGGTACGGTTAATTCCTCTTCGGTAGGCAGCGTTACATTGTTGGTGACAACCATGTTTGGACACTACACAATTTGATAGCTGTGTTGGGAGAAGAAACAAGTTTTTTTTTTATTAGAAAAGCCCTTTATTTGTTAAATAATTAACATTTTATTGTGGGTTTTCATTAGTTTTTACTTTTTTAAGGGCGTGGATTTTTTAAAGAATATTTTTTCAGGGTTATCTATGGCGTGTATTTTTTAAAGTCCTGATTTAGATTAGGCGAGTTTACTTGCGGCAATTCTTATCGCTCTCTTTTGAACTTGCTTCATGCGTCTATACAAGGCAATTCGGTTTCAAAAATATTTTTTTTTACATTTTGTGACAATGTTCTGGATTAGTATTTCAAATTACTGACACTACAAACTAAATACACAAAACGATTTGCCAGAAAATTGTCGGTACGGGCAATTTTTTTCAATTTCTATTCCCCTTGCCCCTCTGTCCAGCAAACAAAGACTTGCCGCAAGTAAACTCGCCCAATCTAAATTGAGACAAAGAATAATTTTTTCAGGGTTGTAAAAGGCGTGTATTTTTTTGAAGAGTTTTTTCATAACTCTTTTTTTTCGTAATCATACGTTTTTATGAATAAATTTTAGGTATTTCAATGTTTTAAAAAAACCTTTCTTTAGGGCCTGGGTACACGACTAGCGCCTGAAGCCGGTTAAAACCGATTATTGAATACTTTATGGCTCAAACACTCATTTGAAAATGTGGCAACAATTTTCAAACGGTATTTAATTAAATTTTATTTTTTTGTTGGTGAGTAAAAAATATTGTAATTTTTTTGAAAACAAATTACAAAACTTTTCGATCTATTTATGCAGTTTTTTGGATTTTGGATCATTGGAATGATTACGTGATATTCTCTCTACATCTATGAAGTCCATACTAAAATATGGGTTTGCAAAGTTCGGTAAGTACCTTTAAATATTGTTATTGTGTAAAAAAAACCAGCGGGGAAAAATACAAGGTTTAAAATTTTGGAGGCTGATATACCCAGAAATATGCAAGCTGTCTACAGAACCTTGAAATATATTTAGTTTAGTAATCTTTTCTTCGCTGGGTCTTGCAATTTGTTTATGAATATTTTTCAAATATATATATATACATATATATACATACATATATATATATATATATATATACATATATATACATATATATACATATATATATATATATACATATACGAAAAAAGTGCCTTCAGCAACTGAAAACGCCACAGCCATGAAAAAATGCTTCTGAAACAGATTATTCAAAATCTATTATTTTTTGGGAATTACGCATATATTTTTTATTTATATTTATTCATATTACAAAATATTATTAAAAAAAGTATTAACTCTTAATGGAGTTAGAGTAAATATTTTGAAAAAAATTGCTTATAATTTGGATTTTATGATCACAATGTTGGCTTGAAAATACTCTCATTACAGGATGACTTTCTTTTTTTTTAGTTCAATACATAAGTTTTTTCTGTTTCTTTTTTGTTTTGGGATTTTTTCTAAATATACAAAATATTTCATAGACACGACTTTGTATTACGGGTGTTATTATCATTTTGGTTTTTTCCAAATCGATTCGGGCATTATGGACACATCCCAACATTTCTATCAAATTTGACGAAGACAATTGATCATACATATTTAAGCGGCTGTCCCAAAAAAATGGCAATTTCCCCAAACGCAAACTATTTTCCATGGCTACGAACATCTAGATAATATGAAAGATATTGATAAACATAGAAGAAAGGAAGGAAAAAGGTGATTTAATTTAGATATAAAAATATTGTATTAAGAGTAGTCTACATAAATTGGTGTATTTTTAGTTGACTGCAACTTGACATTTTAGTTTCTCTAAATATAAAAATCCTCCGGGCAGAAAAATGTTCAATGTACTTGATCCACGATCAGATTTTTTGAAAATCATCAACAGGATGAATTTAACATAGACAAAACGATATATATATATATATATATATATATTCAACTTACATCCAATATTATTATTGACAATGAATTATTCCAATAATCCTTGCTCTGCGTCTCCCTGACTTTCCACAAAAATAATGTTTTGATAAAATAACTCTTCATACAGCTCATATTCGAATGGGCATCACGAAATAGTTTCATCATACGCAAACAATTCTTCAAATTGTTACAGCCGCTTATTAGCTTCTGTTCCTGCCGATAAAATGATGTGTGGAACGATGTATGACGCTTGGGGGCCCCCTTAATTGGTTTCGGTATGGCTTCCCATTGGCCAACATTAGTCCCTGTTACACTCTGCTCCTGATCCATCAATATACCAGGTACAAAGTCCACTGAATATTGCATATTCAAGCTGTTGACTTTAATTGTATGCGCAGGTCCTGCTCGGTGGTAACGTAATTGTGTATTCTCGAAATGCCAATCCATATCCTCGAGGGCTTTGGTAAAACAACTTTGGAAATATGATTGGAATTTTTTCACTATCAAACAATTATCAGCGTTCAACCATTTGCGGAGATATATACATGTAGTTTCATGTTCTTTTTTGTGCTGTATTTTCTCCAACAGTTTGGTAAAGTCCAAATGAACATTTCCCGGTATCTCATGATCTTTTTTAACAATAATAAGCTCATTTTTCGGGAAACGTATATGGAATACCAAATCGAATTCATTAGGTATTGTGACTTTCAAGTTGTCACCATAACTACCTGGGGAGAGAGAAAAACCAAATAATTTTGTAAGGTCTCTACATAGCCGCTGATTTTTAAAATGAATTTTTCGAAGTCATTACATTGGCGTGGATTTTTTTAGTGTACCCCAACATTTACGAGGATTAAAAAAAATTCTTTTCAACGCCCAAACATTGGCGTACATTTTTTTATAAAAATTTATCTCTCAACACTCCAACATTGGCTTGGATTTTTTAAAAATAATTAAAAAATGCTGAATACTTGAAAAAAATTACTTTCAAATGAATACTGCAATTACAATGCAAAATTCAAATAACAAAAATTATGAATAATTAAAAAAAAATATCCACAATTCTTTAAATATATAGCACCACATTTGAATTTGAATTTATTGTATTTTGTATGTGTTTTTTGTTTTACCTCCCAGTTGATAGCCGTTAAAGAGATACCCAAACGGCTCTGCACTACGCAGACGTGTAAAGATCGCAATTTTCAATTTTTCAAAATGATTTGCATAGATTTCACGATGTTGATCAATATTTATGTATTGATTGATATCCATTAAAATGGATTCCAGATTTGGTTTTAGCGTTGCTGCAGACATTGTTATTGTAAGGCTTCTCCGCCGCCGTGTTGTTAGAATGAAATGTTCTTTAGGACTGAATATTTTCTAGTAGTTCATGTTATCAGTGTTTTGTCGTCTTTTGTTTTTTTTTATTGTGTGGAGGTTTTCTTATCAATATTTTATTTAATCGATTATCACAACAATAAAATTAATTTTTTAAACAATATTTTTCTAAGAAAGAATTATTATCTTAAAGAGTTATTTTTCCAGAAA